TGCGTACGAGCGAAGACGATAGGCCCAATCAATGGCAGTCCGAGTGCCTCGCACCATAGAGCGTTCTCTCATCTCATCTAGTAGATCAGATGGATGTTCTGCTTCGCCGTTCTCGACCCCACTAATTGCCCTCTGCACAACAAGCATCTGTGCCATCTTGATAAATTTAGAAAGGTCTGGCGAGTAACTTTGCGTGCTACGAAAGACACTGCCAGTTGTCTCATCAATCCCCAGAACGGCAAGGAAGCTAAGCACTACACTTTCGAAATGATCTCCTCGCAAAGTATGGTCGAGGAGGGAGATGCATAGTAATCAGACTGGTCATCAATCAATCAATCAATCTAACGCCGTCTAAATTGATTGATTGAGTGCTTTTTTAGGCTCAGATTGAGTTAAGATTGATTGAGTTCTACACACAGAGCCTAAATTGAGTTGAGTTGAATGACAAAATTAGAACGTGAAGTTGAGTTGATTGAGATTGATTGAGATTAATTAGGGACTGATTATAAGATTGACTTTGACCTATTATGAATTAGTTGGGTGTTTTGCCTTTAGGCCTATTCTTCTCCACGATCGAATTGACTGTAAGGCGCTGAGTAACTCTGGCTTCATATTAAGTCGTCGTACACTAAGCAGATCTCCAAGCTCACTAAAGATTCTCTCGCAGTCAGCTGAGGCAGCTGGAATAGAGTAGATGTCAAGGGCTAGTTGGGAGAGAACCGGGTATCGAGAGCGCGTAACCAGCCAGTAGTTGATTGGGTGCCTTGCGAGAGGGTCGTCTTCCGCCAAAGGCGCCTCGCGCTTCCAAATATCAAACTCATCGTCCATTGTGCTGGCTACCTGCTTTTGGCCTGCCTTGATAGAGCTCCGAAGGAAGTCATCCCGCCCTAACGCTCTACCAACGCGCTGGCGCTTATGCGGTCGCGCGGCTCCCTCAGACGACGACGGCCTACTAGCTTTTGCAGCTACCTTATCCTTGTGCGGCCTCCATAATCGTGAGAAGGACTAGTAGCCTTGCTCCAACCAGTCCTTGAATGGATGAGGACCCTCTATATCTTCATTATGGTCGTCTGGTACTTTCCATAGGTCTTCAAGCGTGTATTTGTACGTGGGGTGGAGTATGGTTGCTGCAAAGTAGATAGGGGAGTCTCCAAGCTTGTCGTAGTACTCGGAGAGCTTTGCGTGGGCGTTGTTAACGTTCGTCTTGAGATGATCCTCTGGCGCGTTGGGGTCTTCATAATCAATACTCTGTAGTCTCTCTTTTTGAGATTCAAGTTGCGCAAGTAGCCATTCAAAGGTAATAAGAACCTCCCAAATAGCACCATGGCTACCAGAAGCGCCTCTGCCCTGCAATAACATGGTAGCCTCTTTGAACGGCTCAAGCAGCTGCTTATACTCAGTTATCGTTTCCCAATCCTTTGCGTGCATTCCTCCTTCCTGAATAAACTTGCGTGGCTGCTCGCGTGGCTCTTTCCAGCGAGTAGCTGCAGCGACTTGGTATTCCTCTATTTTGAGTTGCATGTAGGCGTCAAGCGCTGTGTGGAGCTCGCATGCGCGATCGAAACAATCGTAATAGGAATTCCAGCGTGTCTTGACAGGCTTAACAAGTTCTCTTGGCTTAAACGGCTCCTTACGGTGCTTTGCATCAGCTTCTTGAAGCCTCAGAAATAGCTCTCGGTTCTGTGGCGATGATGTAGCAGAGGTAATCGCGCCAAAGAGTACAGCAATAGGACCGAACTGTCGCCACTCAGCCATAAACTCCTCTTCTTCCTGTGTACGTGTTAGCGGAGTAAGTACTACACAGCGAGGTAGCTTACATTGATATTGAGCCCCTTGTTTCCAAAAGAGTCCTTATCCCGACCCCATATAATCTCTTGCGCAGCGAGGTTGAGAATGTGGCATGTACAGCGTAACCGGCGATGAGGCGCATAAAAACTGAGATCTTCTGCGAGGAACTCTACTGCGACATCATTGTTCGCAGCGTTGTCTAAAACAAAGTAGCCCACGTGTTCTTTATCAATCTCAAAGGTTGTAAGCGTGTCGGATACAAGAGAGCCAATATTCGCGCCAGAGTGTTTTCCGTGCAGCACGGGTAGGCCAAGCAGGTAGTCTACTGGCTTAGCAGCCTCGTTAAGGTGATGTACGCAGATTCCCGTGATAGCTCTCTTGCTGCCTGTCGACGTCCAATTGTCAAAGGAGAAGTGGATAAGACTGGTTGCTTTATGGAGGTAGTCCACGACAGCTGGTATGAACGCCTCATATTCGGCAATAATATGATCGCGAAGGGAAACATGGCTCTTCCACAATACCGACTCAGCCAGCGGATTGGCAGCCTTTATCAGCGCGCGGAAGGAGGGGTTTTCAATCGCCCGAAGAGACTGGTTGTCGTCTGCAATCCAGCGAGTAATTGCCTGGAGAAACTTACTACGGTTGAAGCTTCTTGCCAGCTCGTTGGCTACGTCCTGAGATACCTCAGTCCCGCTGGCCTGCATAACAGCGAGTATTGATGTTTGACCAGCTGGGGTCTTTGTGATCTTGCCTAGTTTATCGTAGCCGTGACCAGGCTTGATCTGTGCTAGGTGGCTTGCTGCAGAGCTAGTGGAGAGATGAACGTTGTATTCTCCACTTATTTTCTTAGCTGTGTGGCAGTGTTTACAAAGCCAGTACTTCTTCTGCTGCCCCCGATGCCAGACTGGCCAGCCGTACAGGTATATCCAGCTTGGTTTAGACCCGCGCGCGTGTTCGTAAGGCCGTTTCTGTAAATAAGGTACTCTCTTCCAATTCAGGCCATCGTATGTATCGTCGTCGATATCAGATACCTCGAGAGGTAGAAGGTCAGAGTCGTTATAGACTTCGGGCGCGTCGACCTCAGGGTATACGGAGGTAGCTACTAGAGGTAGGCACGTATTATCTGCGCAGGCAGCTGTTTCCTCAATCGCCTTAGGAACATTTTCGCTCATTATATGTAGAGGTAGGCGTGAAGGTTGGCGGTATTAGTGAGGTAGCTGTTAGTAGGAGTTGTTGTGTCAAGTCGCGACGTGACGCGCTAATGGTGCTTACTAAGTAGGTTATCGATAAGGAGAGAGCCTAAGCTAAACAGAGTACAACCTGCAACTACCCTTCGATAATAAAAAATAGTCTTGCCATATACTTTAAACACAACCTAAACTCAATCAATCAATCAACTTTATGTTACCAAGTTGAGTTGGAGTTGAGTTCTAACTATCTTAAGTTGAGTTGGAGTTGATTGACGAACTCAATCAATCAATCAATCAGATTGAGTTCAAGTTGATTGATGACCAGTCTGATAGTAATAAACATGCTTGGTCCATATCGTTCGCCACCTCATGTTCCTCGTCCTTGAAGATTTTGTCATCTCCGCCTAGGCTTCTTAAATGCAGGAGGTCGCTGGCAAGATTCATGGTCCGATCTAGTCGACAGAGTTGTTCATTAGTAAATCGATGGAGGAGCGGGATCTCCTGGCTAGGAAGACTGGTACGGTATACAAAGCAGAGAAGGCGTTTCCATAACCCCTTGTATGCCCGAAACGTTCCTTTTTGGAGCTTGATCATGATCATGCGATCTTGCCTAGCTGATCGACCTGATATAAAACTGTTACTCTTGGCTTGGTCGAACACGCTAATTCGGTCCTCGCAGATAGACCGGTAAGCCTGCTCAATAATACGATCGAAACTCTCCCCCATGATGACCAGAACCGCCTCAGTAACAGGATTGGTCCCGTACGCTAAGGGCGCCACCTTAGTCATGTCCAGACCATCAAAGTAGCGGGGCCACTTTGTCATTTCAAGCTAGGGGGAGACCTCCGTCTTTGCGACTGGACTGCTGTACGTCTGCGCAATGACCTGTTGCTCGAGTTGGCCAGCATGAAGTTGCTCGTTGATGATAGCCCGAAGGAGATCTACCTTGCGCGTCTGAGGTTTGGCTATTAGGTTCTGCAACTTAGGCGGCACATAAACGACAAAAAAAGAGCTTTGGTGGCATGAAATAAAAAAGCGCTAGCAATAGACTTCTTTAAACATTAGCCCTCTGTCTTCTTCTAGTATATTCGCTGACTTTCCAGGTCGTCCTTTTCTCCGTGCAAGCAGTCGGTGTTTACTGAAGTGCCGCTTCATAGATTCCTGGGACGACTTTGTTTTTGAGAGCACGTATTCGCAGCGGGTGCATTGATAGCCGCGAAAGAGTTTTAGATCTGGGATAGGCGGGTCTGTGGGCGACGGTCGCGGGATTTCTTGAGTTCTCGGGTCAAGAAGGTCATATTTCTCTTGAAGGTGCTTGGCAAGAGTAATGGCAGGTCTACTTGCTCGAGACTTCGCGAAATCGAGGCCGGCATCGCGGGTTGCCTCGCGTGCGTGTTCTTTCTTGATATGGCTGGCAAGATGCAGGGGCGCGACGGCGCAGGCACAGGATTTGCATACTAGAACTTGGTATTGGGGTAAGAATGTAAACAAATCCATGGTGAGATGGGGAACGGTTTAAAACGCGTAGTATAGGGACGGGATGTGGTCGCCGGTGCGAGATTTATGATGGAGCGAAGAGGTTGGTGCATTACAATACCAGACACGACTAAGACGCGGTCCTTCCTACGCGTACTCGGGCCTACTATTTGTTGCGTGTTCCGTCACGGCCCTTCTATCACACGGGGCTTCCCAGAGCCGAGGCAGGCAGTATGGGACCGAGCTCTTCGCCGATTGGCCCACAAATGGGATGAGGGTTGACCCGAATTAAGCATGTATCTTAGTTGGATCATCTTCAAAGCAGGCTCAATCGACGCGCTGAATCTTGTTGCACAAGGCTGTGCAGTTGCAGCGCTCCGCGACCCAAGTTGCCAACGATCCCTTCGGTTTCGCAAATCAGGGGATTGATGGTCACTCATTCAGGGTTTCTCGGAGGATTGTTGGCTATTGCCAACGATCCCTTCGCCCATTAATGATAGGACTCACCAACTGGGCTCCAGCCAATCACAATAGCTAGGAAAACATTTAGAGGTTGATACTACAAAACCAAATTCTTCCTGATCCAACACCCATGCCAATCGTATCCCCGCATACAGACGAGTGTAATGTTCGATACTCAGGTGGTATCCAGAGCAGGTTCTTGCCGTTACACGTAATCCATGTGCTGTCTGGACTAACGCCCGCGCCCACGTACTGGGGACGTTGAAGTACCGTATCATTCTTTGCACTAAAACCTATTAATATACTAACGTTGATAGACCCGATTTCCGTAAGTAGACATGAGCTAGTAGCATCAAATGAAAGGCTGTAAAGAGGCCTGCCAACGTCGAGCGTCTGCAGGCACGCGCCGCTACTCGCATCCCAGATCTTGACAGTCCTGTCGTCGGACGCCGACGCCAGCCGCGTTGAGTCGTGCGAGAAGGCTACTGAGCTGACAAGATGGCTATGGTCCTCGAGCATCTGCAGACACGCGCCGCTGCTCGCATCCCAGATCCTGATGGTACTATCCCAGGACGCCGACGCCAGCCGCGTTGAGTCGTGCGAGAAGGCTACTGAGATGACATAACTACTATGGCCCTCGAGCGTCTGCAGACACGCGCCGCTGCTCGCATCCCACACCTTAACAGTCTTGTCGCTAGACGCTGACGCTAGCTGGGTCGAGTCGTGCGAGAAGGCCACAGATGTGACAGAATCGCTATGACCCTCGAGCGTCTGCAGACACGCGCCGCTACTCGCATCCCACACCTTGACAGTGCTGTCGTGTGACCCCGACGCCAGCCGCGTCGAGTCGTGCGAGAAGGCTACTGAGCTGACAAGATGGCTATGGTCCTCGAGCATCTGCAGACACGCGCCGCTGCTCGCATCCCAGATCCTGATGGTACTATCCCAGGACGCCGACGCCAGCCGCGTTGAGTCGTGCGAGAAGGCTATTGAGTGAACAGAACCGCTATGGCCCTCGAGCGTCTGCAGGCACGCGCCGCTGCTTGCATCCCACACCTTGACGGTGCTGTCGTAGGACGCCGACGCCAGCCGCGTTGAGTCGTGCGAGAAGGCCACCGAGCTGACCCCGATGCTATGGCCCTCGAGCGTCTGCAGACACGCGCCGCTACTCGCATCCCACACCTTGACGGTGCTGTCGTAGGACGCCGACGCCAGCCGCGTTGAGTCGTGCGAGAAGGCTACTGAGATGACCCCGATGCTATGGCCCTCGAGCGTCTGTAGACACGCGCCGCTACTCGCATCCCAGGTCTTGACAGTCTTGTCGTCAGACGCCGATGCCAGCCGCGTCGAATCGTGCGAGAAGGCCACAGATGTGACAGAATCGCTATGACCCTCGAGCGTCTGCAGACACGCGCCGCTGCTCGCATCCCACACCTTGACGGTGCTGTCGTGTGACCCCGACGCCAGCCGCGTTGAGTCGTGCGAGAAGGCCACGGAGGTAACAGACTCGCTATGGCCCTCGAGCGTCTGCAGACATGCGCCGCTGCTCGCATCCCAGATCTTGACAGTCCTGTCGTAGGACGCCGACGCTAGCCGCGTCGAGTCGTGCGAGAAGGCTACAGAGCTGACAGCATCGCTATGGCCCGTAAACGTCTGCAGACAATCGCCGCTGCTCACATCCCACAGCTTGACGGCGCTGTCCCAAGACGCTGACGCCAGCTTGGTCGAGTCGTGCGAGAAGGCCACTGACTTGACCCCGCTGCTATGGCCCTCGAACGTCTGCAGGCACGCACTCCAGCCGTCGCTCATGCCTGGCTTGAGAGCAATACCTTCTGGTTCTTCGTGCTGAAACAACCTTCTCACTAAGCTCTGCTTTGGACTAAACAACAGCGCAGATCCATACGCCTGAAGAGGGCTACTCTCGATCGCTTGTTTGTGGTACATAATAAACCGATATGCATCGTATACAAGCTGAGTGAACGGAGTCGTCTTCCCCTGTCCCGAGCTACTGTCAGCATAGAAGATATCTAACTTAATAGGATCGTTTGTTCTGGACACACCTGCACTAACATCTGTAGCTCCCTCATCGAGACTATGCCTTTCGACATACTCCTGCAGAGGCTAAGACACTCTAGCCAATATAGAAAGTTCTCTCTCAGGAATCTATCAACAACGCCTCCATCTCCCAGGTGTTCTGCATAGGTTGCGGAAGCCGTAGGATTCGAGTCGCGTAGATGGTCGACCCAGTGAACACACGAGTAGCGCATCGCTGCTAGCGGGTCCGGCTCAGGCACCTGAACGTCGTCGATAAGCGTGCCCAGCGCTTTTAGGCTATACATGTCCCGTTGCAGGGTCGTGGACATAATCTGAAGCGACCTAGCAAAGATGGCCTGGTGGACGGCCTCCCGCCCGGCTGGGAAAATTTCTTGAGCTGCCTTGGCGAAGAGAAAGTCCTTGGCTGACTGGTGCACGAAGTACACAGTCTGCCCTCGCAGGGCAAGGAACGAGCCGCAAAGGCCGATAATCTCCCGTAACTCTGAGTCGTCAGCTACGTCTTCGAGCGGCTCGACAAGGGCTACTAGCTCCTCAAGCGTGATTGGCCGATATACGAGTGCGACCGCAGCCAGTATCTGCTTGCAGAGTTTGGCATCGTCCGTCTTGCTGATCTGCTGCATCATCCGCTCGTACAGGGCATCCAGTCCAGGCGGGAACAATTCCAGCTTCCTCAGAACGTTTCGTTTCGCCGTTGTCTGAAGGTGCTGGCACACTAGCGCTACCCATAGGAAGGTGTCGTTCGCATTCGACGCTAGATGCTCAAGCACAGCGCGCTTAGTTGACTCGTCGTACCTGTTCCGTTGCGCAAGCTCAGAGACCCTTTGATCGATAAAGACTTGGACCGCCGTCGACACAGATGCTGCATTCAGTTCGAGGCTTAGCTTGACCTTATGGCCTGCATCCTCTAGGCCTCTCTCTATCTCTGGCCAGTTGCGGCTAGAGACGATCCACTTGACGCGAGAAGAGGCAGACGAGTGCTTTGCGACAAAATCAAGCAGCTTTGGCAGGTCAGTGACGCACTCGTCTAGCGCGTCGATGATTAGGTACGTAGTGGTTAAGCATGGGTCTCGCAGCACGTCTGCACAGACCTCTTTCAAGGCAACCCACGCGTTTGCATCCTCGAACATGGTCTTGCCTGCGCAATCGTACTTCTTACGAACGTGTGAGACCAGCGACGGCTGCTGGCTAACAAGCATGTACAGCAGTCCTCGCAGCACAGCTGTAGCATGGTTGATGCGCGAGTCGGTGGCCTGGCAGAAGAAGTACGAGAGCACGCCTGTCGAGCCTAGTGACTCCTGCAGCTCGTCGATAATACCGCAGAGGAGCATCGTCTTGCCTTTGCCGGGATTAGCCTTCACCCACAGTAGCTGATTTTGCGCATCGTCGCGCCACCGCCGAAAGTCTGGATGGTCGAGCACCCAACGATATGCGTCTTTGAGCAGGCCGCCCTTTGTCTCTTCGATACGCTTCTTGTCGTCGCGAGGATCAGTCAGACGCAAGTCCGCCAAGCACCTCTTATCCTCACTTGTCTCGTGCATCCTTTCCTGCTGCCGTGTTTGCTCTCGGATCGCGGAGCTGATGCTGTCCAGTTTGGCGTTCTGCGACTTGGCCGTCTCAGCGATCGCATCTAGCCGAGCTTTAATCGAAGCCGTGTTGTACTGCATCGAATCTTCCTGCACCGCCCTCTCTGCCGCTTGTATGTCGCTCAGCTCGCCGTCCCAGTTCTCAAGCTTGACGAGGTCTCGCATGAACGTCGCAAACCGGCTGCGGTGGTAGTAGCACACGCTCTTCATCTGGTACAGCAGCAGCTTCGCGTACAGCTGAGTGACCACCTCCTCGAGCTGGCCTCTTGGTCCCTTCGAGCGCGCTTCGGTCATGTTCTCGTCCAGCAGCAGGCTCGACAGGTGCCAGTACCAGTCCATCCTCGATACAACGTAGGCAATACCCTGGCGGTTAGAGCTCGCCTGGGTGAGCGGGTTCATCAGGATCTTGACGCTGCACATCAGTCTCAGGCACCATTCTCTATTGTGGGAATCCAAACCTCAAGCGCAAAACACACGCCGACCCAGGCGACAGCGGCCTCAGGCGACGCCTGGATCGCCTTGTCCACAACTTCTTTGACGGCCATAGCGGCCTGGATGCTGTCTCCTACCCCTTGCTTGACCTGTGCATCCTTTTCTGTCTTGCGCAACCCATGCTGGACGAGCTGCAGCATTTGCATCCGCCGTTTGTCCGCGTTCTGTGCGATCTCGTTTTGCTGCGACGCGAGGTCCGCAGGGCGTGGAGCGTCTGGTACGTCTGCATTGTACTCTACCAGCCTGACGGACAGGATCTTCTCATAGGCATCGACAGTGCTCGAGTCGTTCGCTTTTGCATGCTCGTATGCTCGGTTCCACAGTCGCTCCGGTATGCTAGGCGGAGATGCGGCAGAACCGGGAGCGGCCTGTGCGGGTGGGGTAACGGCGGTGGGAGAGGCTCTAGCTCGCGGAGCCGTTGGAGCGTCCTTCCCCCGGAGCTTGGCTTTGAGATGTTCTTTAAAAGACACCATGATCAGGCTAAAGCAACGAACAGCTAACGCTAACGATGAGTGGAAAGTCAGAGTACTGTAGCATTCCTATAGTTTGATTGCAAGAGAGCTGACAGCATGGCTATTTAGACAAGGCGTGCCGCCAAGGACTCAGCCTCGGTTAGGCCGCACAGTCGGTAGCCTGGCAGAACAAGTACTTAGGAGATAGCGACAGCCTTCATTACGTTCTTCTGTAGCTCGTTGACGATGCCGCAGATCAGCATCGTTTCGCCTTTGCCAGGTCCCCTTTCACCTATAGCATTTGGCTGTGCTGGTTCTGTTGCCATTGCTGGAAAGTGGCATTGTTAGGAACCCAGCGATAGGCATCTGTTCGCAGTCCATCTTAAGTCTCCTCGATGCGCTCTTTACCGTTACAGGGTTTAGTAGGACGTAAGTCGCGAAGGCACGCTTCTAGCTTCTGAATCTCGTCGTCGTGAAGCCGTCTAAATGCTTCGTTAGCGCTTTCGCCGTAGACTGGCGTGATGTCAACCATCAAGGACATCTAATAAAGAGTACGCTGCATCCTCTTTCATACATGGGCAAATCGGTTTTTGAAAAACCGGTTAAGCAGCCGTTAGCGTACCAAACTCTGTTTTTTACCAATCGGAGAAAATCTTGTTACTGACAGCCTCTGTTTGATTGGCTGAAAAGGGCTTTGGTACGCTAACGGCTGCTTAACCTGTTTTCCAAAAAACGATTTGCCCATGTATGAAAAACAGTTATCGCAGTGATGCTTGATAATATTCCGCACAACGTTCGGTATACTGTCAATCCACTTGTTGATCACCTCTTGAGGGATCTCGTGCCACTCATACGCTGTCAAGCTGTGATAGATGCGAAGGGAGGTCACACAAAATGGTGAACGATCACAGTGAGTTCGAAATTGTAGCATAAAATATCGAATAAGTTACTCACATGTCCAAAACTAATTCCTAGTTACGTCCCATGTTACTACTCCAACCCAGCAAGCACCGTTTTTTTGTGCAGGCTTTCCGTACTATCACTGTAAGCATGTAGTCCATTGTCGTCATTATTAAAATCTGTATGCAACATAGTGTCCTAATATGTACTCCACGAGTTCTTGTCTACAATGCAGATGTTCGTGCTGAAGAGCGGTTACCACAATTGAATCAAATCGGCAATGGGAAAACAAGTAAGCTTGACTGATTCGAGGCTACCGTAATAGCGAGCTGCGCTGCCGAGATCGGCGCTCTCATAGTCTAGCGAAGATTGCAAGCAAACCATGTTGTGAGGCTGTGAACATGACAGAAGACCTGCAATGGATCATCCTATCTACACATTGCTGCCCTTCCGCTTCCTTTTCACCGGCTCCGATGCTACCGATGTAGGTGTCAACGGCGTTGGGAACTGAATCCAGGACCGCGAATCCAACGAGGTCTCCGAACGCGCAACCGTACTCTCGGACACAGCTTAAATTTGGCGTCTGTTCCTCGCAAAATGCCGGGAGTGCTGCTTTGATGGACTGCAGACGCTTTTCAACAGCGTAGTCTAAGATGTTCCAGAGCATCTGCCGTGCCAACTCCACCTCTGCCTCTTTCCGCAACGAGAACTTGTACACCAACTCCATATGATGTATATCCTGCTCGCTTCAGTGTACGAATATGTTCCCATTCAGTAAATCGCAGGTGAGAGAAAAGTGGCAGGTCTCGACAACGTTAGGCTCGTATTCGCATCCGTGTGAAACGCTGTAGAATTCGCGAAGGTGATTTACGATGACGGCCCCATCACGGCCGGCTTGGTTGTGAGCGTGAGAATGGTTCTGATTCGAGTTGGGAGACTTCCATTGCGAGGTAAGGAACGGGAAATGCAAGTACGGCATGAGACGATACCTGCATGAAACATGAGTTGGGCCTGAGAAGAGGTTGGTGCATTACAATACTAGACACGACTAAGACGCGGCCCTTGCTACGCGTACTCGGGCCTACTATTTGTTGCGTGTTCCGTCACGGCCCTTCTATCACACGGGGCTTCCCAGAGCCGAGGCAGGCAGTATGGGACCGAGCTCTTCGCCGATTGGCCCACAAATGGGATGAGGGTTGACCCGAATTAAGCATGTATCTTAGCGCCCTGGGATAGAAAAAAACCCTAACGCAACTCAGGGCTGAGTTTCGTTAACGCCCTGGGATAGAACCTGGATATCTGAGCACTAGCTAAATAATACCCTAACGACATGGAGGGCTGAATGTCATTAGCGCCCTGGGATAGAGGTGACGCGTATAGGGAAACCCAATCAGCTGTCTCTAGGTATCGGCTAAATGATCTCGAGGCTCCTGATTGGCTGGCCTGAGTAAACTCAACACCACAAAAGTATCGCGAGATGAGCAGCTCAGCAACCCTAAAAACCTCACAAATTTTAATATAATCTCAAGCAAGACAAGCAAGTCAATCAATCTCCATCCCTTTGATTGAATTGACACCAAAATTAGATGAGACGAGAATGACTTGATTGAATTGAGTAACTCAAGCAAGTCAAGCAAGCGAACCAATCCGGATTGCTTGTTGCGGACTCTGGTTGTCCTATTCTGTTTGGACTTTGCGGTCAACCAGAACACTGAAGGTGGTGTGCTCCATCGCCTCTATGACGACATCTGGTTCTGGAACAAAGATTATGAGAAGTGCGCTTCAGCCTGGGAGAGTATTACAGATTTTGCCAAAGTCACTGGAACAGAGGTACGTTGGTTCTTCCGCAATATCACCAAGTGGTTTTGCTGATCGGTCTCTAGATCGACAATGTCAAATCGGGCAGTATTCGCATCGGTCGAGATGGAGAACTGGAGATCGATGATCGTTTACCCCAAGGCGATATTAGATGGGGTTTTCTATACCTGAACCCTTCGACTGGACGTTTCGATATTGATCGCAAGATGGTTGACTCGCATGTTGGTGAGCTTCGTAAGCAACTGCAGGGCAAGTCCAAAAGTTTGATCGACTGGATACAGGGTGAGTGTGCGATTTTGCCCATCTTATTTCTAAGCACTAACAGTCTCTAGTTTGGAATTCCTATGCTGCTACATTCTTCAGTGCAAACTTTGGAAAAGCTGCCAACTGCTTCGGCCGCGAACATGTCGATGCAATGCTTGCTACACATCGTCATATCCAAGAGAGTGTCTTCGATGGCGGCAATGTTGTGCAGCATCTGAAGCAGATGATCAAGGACCGATTCAACGTGTCGGGTCTGCCTGACGGATTCCTCTACTTCCCTGTTGAGCTTGGTGGCCTGGAATTGAAGTCTCCTTTTGTCAGCCCCCTCCAGATTCGTGATTCAGTCAAAGTCGACCCGTATGATCTACTCGATGAGTTCGAGGAGAAGGAGAAGGATGACTATCTTGTCGCCAAGCATCGTTTCGAAAGGGGCGATCTTAAGCACGGCCGTTACAATATTGAGAAGCCAGACTTCACACTTGACGACCCTGACGTCTTCTTCGGCATCGAAGAGTTCATTCGCTACAGGGAGGAGTATGCGAGCGTAGGCAACGCCGATTTGCGAAACGTATATCTTGAGCTGCTCGAGCGGCCAAGCGAGAAACCTGTTTACCAGAGCTCTCAGGTCAATCAAGCTTTGCAGGAACTCGGACTTCGGAGCAACTTGCGCGGCATCACTTCGAATTGGTACAGCATGGACGCGTATTGGAAATGGATTGCGCAGGTTTATGGCCCAGATTTGATTGCTCGATTTGGTGGCTTCAATATCGTCGATCCTGGTTGGCTGCCTATCGGCATGATCAGCCAGTTCCGCCAGAGGAGAACCAAGTGGCAAGGCTAGACTGAGCCCCGTTGTTTCATGATGGGGGTACTATATGGTTGGTAGCTCTTAACCCGTGTTCTGGAAGAAATGATAGCAATGTCTTTACAATACAGCAGACCAATGGTCAGTCACGAGGTTCGCTACTGGTGTAAGGTCTTTGGCGAGGCAACCTCCATCACATTAAATGTGTCTTTATAACGTTAGACTATTAAGACATTATCATACTAAATGACGGACGCACACGTGGTTCTGCTAAACCATCGATCGAGGTTCAAGTGCATGGTCTGGCGAGATGGTACTGCCCCTTTTTGGTTATAATGTGAACATTAATAAGAGTCGAGGAAGTAGCCGAGCGCCCTTCGCTTACTTCCAGGAAAGTGAAACATCCCGCTAAGCGCTGTGGCCGTTGTAAGGTTGATAATGTATCGACTGGTCTAGTCTCAAAAGGAGGGATACTGGCCTGGTACAAGCGTCGTTACTCATTACCCCGATCTACCCAGCAGTTACTCAACCGAGAAAGAACACCATCGCATCGAGACCGGCAAGGGACTAGCGAGATCTCCGTCTTTCCCACGTAGGTCCTTCCGAGTGTAATTGCTGCATGGACTGCGACATTGATGGATATGTTGTGTCCGGCAAAGGCAGCACCTGCACGCCTAGGCTCGATGACAGACTGAATTTGACTACTATATGGTTAAGACGATCTTTCGTTGACGCGTATCGATGATCGGGGATCGACTGTGCTTCGTCGTATGCGGCTACTCATTTTCCTTGTTCGCCTCTGTTGATGTGAGGTCTTGGCAAGAGCAACGGCAGAGGAGGTCGCGCGCCGTACGGCGGCTGAAAGCGAGGACGTGACGTCACTGCCCAAAGCGGCGTTTACTCATAATGCCCATGCAGGCTTCTTACCAGCATCGTTCACGGTTGTTCCAAGTCAGCCGCAGTGCGAGTTTGAGATCATGTTGCAATTATATACGAAGCTGCGCTACGCTCCATTGTCCGCCTCTTTCGCGGCTTTGGCCTCCTTCCACTTCTGCGCATTGGCCATGAGTCTCGCCAATTTGGCCGCACTCTCATCGTCGGCAGGGAAGATGTAGTCGACGTACTCCTCAAAGCTATCGTCGTCGAGCTTTCTCCTTTTCTTGACCTTGCGAGGCATCTGTTTATCGATCTTGTCCTGGTCCTCAAGAGTGCCGTGTATGGCTTCGAATGATTTCCAAGCATTCAGAAGCGCGACTCTGTCTTCCTTGAGATCCTTATCCTTCATGCGCTTATGCGCACGCTCGAAGACAGCGCGAGCGCGTGCTTTCGCTGCATCGCTGACGGGCTTGTCTTCGTTGTCGTTCTCCTCTGCCTCGGAGTCGGGAATGCCAATCTCCAGCAGTGCCCATGATGTCCAGACCTTGACGTGATCGGTCTTTTCGAGAAGACGCTCGTACAAGGCTCTTGTGCGTTCGTACTCGCCCTCGCCTTCCTCGAAGTCGATATATGCTTTCCACAGTAGCTCGGGCATGTCGAGTTGAGGTTCGTTGACTGCAAGCTCGAAGATGGCGCGTGCGCGGTCAAGGTCGTCGAGGCCGCGCTCCAGTTCAGCAAATTTAATCCATGTTTGCGTGTTGGAGCCGTTGAACTCGATGTACTTGGTGTATAGTTGTCTACAGCGCGTAAACTCGAACAGTTTCATTTCCAGCTCGATGTATCCCTTGAATAGCTTGTCCTTCGGGCACATACCAATCGCCTGGCCAAGCAGCTTGCGCGCTGCAGTGAGTTGCGACTAACGGATATCGAAGTGAGCGAACATCAGCCACAGCTTAGCAAATGTGAACCGCTTGTGCGGTATCAGACGTATACATTCCTGGTAGATTTGTCGTGTGCGGGTGATATCTTTTGTGACGGATTCTTCGTAAACAGCGTAGAACAACCAAAGGTAGATGTACCTTCTCCAGTGGCGTTTTTCCTGGGTTGGTGGGATCTGCGCAATCGCTCGTTCGTAGACGTCTCGTACACGGTCTGTGTTACCGGATGTTTCTCCCAACCGCGCAAAATCGATCTATGCATCGTAATTCTTGGGGTTCTCCTTGATCTGCTCCTCGTAGTGCACTCTTCGTTTCGAGAGAACTACGTCTTCAATGCCGTCCCGGTCACCGTACTGCTTTTCGAACGTTGTGAAGGCCTTGTGAAGGTTGACCGATTTCGAGCGCGGGATGCGGTCGAGCGCAAACTTGTAGATGGCTCTTGCTCGCTCTGTCTCCTTTAACCTCGCTTCGAACTTGGCGTATGCCATGAAGAGCTTCTCGTCCATGAAGTCATCGCCGAGCGTCTCGACAGCGGTCCCGTATACGTCTCGTACCAGATCACTAGTGCCATTCTCCTCCTCGAATTTGGCCCACTTGATCCAGTTCTTCGGCTCTGGGTGGACAACAGTGAAGCGCTCGAAGATGGCTCTAGCTCTTTCATATTCTCCATGGCGCACCTCCAGCTTGATGTATGACGACCACGCCGACTCCTCAGGCTCCCATTGCACCCAGCGCTCAAACACAGATCGTGCGCCATCAATGTTGCCGAGCGTCTCTTCCATGTACACGTACTTGTACCAGAGCTTGTCAACACGGGGAAGGATGGTAACGGCGCGATCGAGAAGGTTTCGTGCGTGGTTGATGTTCCGGTGCTTCATCTCAGCCTCAATGTACCTCAGCCAGAGGGCGACTGATGTGCTGTCGACGTCCACCGCACGCTCGAAAATGGATCGCGCGTCTGAACTCCTTCTGCTCGAGTTCCCAGGCGGCATAGCGCATCCAGTTGTTCATGTTGATCCTGTTACGCCGCACATAGTCTTCGAATTCCTTCCTCTTGCGGCCCTGGAACTCGTGCAGCTCCTCCACGTCGGCGAAGCGCTGCGTGGGCGCCTTGAGCTTCTCATCCTGGCGGTCGACTGCTTCGCGCAGCAGCTGTTCCGCGCTGATCTGGATAGGCGCGGCCGCCTTGTTCTTGACGCGTGGTGGCCCTCGTGCCTCCATGATTGAGGCCGTTCGCGTGTGTTTCGAAAGGGATGGAGAGACGACGGTCGCGCTGCCCAGCTGGGGGGAGCTGATTGCGTCACGTGCGATTGATGAGTCGAATTGGTGTTGGATTGTGCTGTCGCGGCGCGCTCAGAAAGTTCGCAGGCAGTCACCGCACGTGCCCACGCCAGAGCTCTCCCGCGGCGATTTCTCAGCTATGATGCGCGCCTTCTCACTTTCTTGCCCACCACCGAACGCGGCAATTCACAGCATCGGCCATGGCGACTGTCGCACGGTTGGGTGCGGTGTTGCAAGTATGGGAAATCATGAAGAGTGTGTAAGTTATTGTATTGTTCTTGCATCATAGCTCAGCTTATATTCAGGCCCTCGCACGGCATGCTTAGTAACAGAGTTTAGGTTCACGAAAGCGCTTGGCATGCGACAGCGACACTCGAGCAAGAGCTGCTTGCCGACTTTGCAGACTCAGGGGACGAGGATGTTGCCGATCTCGAAAATGAGTTTGCTGGCGGAGACTTTGGCTCTCCAGAGGCCGCCCAAGATGGCGAGGACGAGCACATGGTAGACGAAGAGGCAGAGCATGCAGAGAAGGAGAGGAAACGGAAAGAGAAGGCGCCGTCAGACATGAGAAATGCGCAGAGCCTCATGGCTAATCTGCAGCCAGTGTTGCAGCAGATTGACGAGGTCAAAGACAAAATGGAGGAAGTCATGGACGGCGAGTCGATTGAGGACAACCCGGAGTACCAGCTGTTGAAAGAGGCGAACGAGTTTTCAACGCAAATCGATGGCGAGATCCAGGCAGTCCACAAGTTCATTCGTGACAACTACTCGCTACGGTTCCCTTACCTCGAAGAACTCGTCAAGAACCCCGTCGACTACGCCAAGACAGTTGCCATCCTTGGGAATCGCCCGCTCGATGACATCAAAACCATCGCACAAGACTCTGATAATGTTGTTGGGGTGCCCCTGAAGACCATCTTGGACGCCCCATCGCTCATGGTCATTACGGTCGAAGCTACTCGAGCTTCTGGTCGCGAACTCCAGGACGCCGAGCTTGCGGCTGTCATGACTGCATGCAAACTTCTGCTCAATCTGGACAAGGCAAAGCACATCCTCACAGAATACGTTCAATCACGTATGAGCGTTTTCGCTCCAAACCTCACAGAACTCATTGGGTCGCTCACTGCTGCCCAACTCATCAACTACGCCGGAGGTCTTGCCGGTCTTGCGAAGACACCAGCATGCAACATTGCACCTCTAGGCTCAAACAAGGCAAGTGGCCTGGGTCTAGCCACCAATATTGGAATTATGCACCAGGGTTTCCTCTACCACAGTCCCATCCTTGAAGCTATCCGACCAGATCTTAAGAAGCAAGGTCTGCGTATTGTATCCGCCAAAGTCATTCTTGCCGCACGTGTTGACATGGTCCACCAAGCACCGGACGGCTCCACCGGCCGCTAGTTGAAAGATGAATGTGAGCGCCGACTTGACAAGCTGACCGAGGTTCCTGCCAACAAGGGTGTCCGCGCTCTCCCTGCGCCAGACGACAAGCCCGCACGAAAACGTGGTGGCAGAAGGGCTCGCAAGGCTAAGGAGGCAACCGCCATGACCGAGATCAGGAAGGCACAAAACAGGATGGCATTCGGCAAGGAGGAGAAGGAAGTGGGCTACGGCGAGTCGACAAAGGGCATGGGCATGATTGGCGCGACCGACACAGGCCGTCTGCGCGCACAGCAAATCGATCCCAAGGCCCGAGCGAAGCTATCGAAGAAGAACCCAGGTTGGGGCGGCGACACCACGCTCGGTGCCAACACGTCACTCAAGGGATTCGGTGCGGGTGGAACAGCAACAAGTCTGCGTGCGCAAGGTCTGCGTACTGGTGGTGTTGGTCTTCAAGGCTCTGGTATGAGCTCCGTTGCCTTCACACCCGTGCAAGGCCTTGAACTCGTGGACCCAAGAGCGCGTGAAGAGGCGAACCGCAAGCGCAAGGCTGAGGAGGATCGCTGGTTCAAGGGTGGTTCGTTCACCCAACTCGGTGGCAAGACAGATGCAGCAGGCTTCAAGCTCCCTGCTCTGCCTGTGAAGAAGCCAAGGACGGAGTGATGAAGTGTGAATAGCATTTGTTTTTTTTTCTGTTTTTTTTTCGAGAAGAGTCTTTGATGGGTTACATGCAGCAAGCACTGTATGAAGATATGCATTATTTGGCGTTTAGGGACCAGGATGCTCGATACCAGGGCTATGAAAGCGCCCACCTTCATCCCGGCTTCATGTAGATGAACAGCAATGAACGATCAAACTGCCATCCCAACTCCCTTGTTCGAGGTTGCTGGCCACTGTACAGAGACGATGAAGGCTTACAATGGCAGCAAAGCTAACGAGAATGATGTACGTCCACTGAGTGTCTATTCGTGCTGAACAGACATTACGAAAATAGTGCTGCTATAAAGTGAAGTATATTAGGAAAGATTTAGACTTGCGGGACAGTGCAACCGGTAATCTATCCAATGTATCAAATCCAATCGAGGTTACTTGCATGTACCGTAACCCTTTTGACTGCTCCTTGTTAGCATCAATTCACGCCAGGCATCTCTGAAACTTACCATCCAGTTTTACAATGGTTGTCTGTCGTTCCACAATACCCGCTCGCCGCGCAACACTGTCCATTGAATGGGCCGCCCGCACACGTGAGACCTTTGTTCGCGCCACACGATCCATCCAACGATGCGACGTTCGAAGTCTGGCAACCGCTCGAGAACGATTTTTGACTAAATATCAGAAAGGCACTTGTTAGCACACACATACACACCCTCTCATATCATTATGTCGGCCGGAGAGGAGATGTTGCACTTACCATCCTTGAGCACAGTGATTGACTGTGCTTCCGCAATAGCCTCCCGCAGAGCAACATGTCCCGAACGACGTTCCCGCACATGTATATCCGTTCGACCCACCACACGAGCCATCTGGAGATGTCTTGGAAGCTCCTCCGCTCCCGCTTCCGCTTCCACTCCCCGCGGAGCAAGTTCCAAAGGCACTTTGGCAGCCAGTGCTGCAGTGTGCGGTAGAGCTGCCACAGTAGCCAGAGCTGCTGCAACAGTTCCCAAAGCTGCTGCCCGCGCACTTGTAACCCTTTGAGCCTCCGCAGGTTCCGTCTGGGGAGATGTTGGAGGTTGCGCAGGTGCCAAAGCTGGATTGGCAGCCTGCGCTGCAGTGCGCTGTACTGCTGCCGCAGTACCCTGAACTGCTGCAGCAGTCGCCGAATCCACTGCCTGCGCACTTGTAGCCCTTGGATCCACCACAAGTTCCGTCTGGAGAGATATTAGAGGATGTACAAGTACCAAAGGCGGATTGGCAACCAGCGCTGCAGTGTGTTGTAGAACTACCGCAGTACCCTGAACTGCTGCAGCAATCGCCAAAGCCGCTACCCTTGCACTTGTAGCCTTTGGATCCACCACAAGTGCCATCAGGGCTGATCGTTGTATCTGTGCTACTGCACGTGCCAAATGGTGTCTGGCATCCACTGTCGCAGTGTGAAGATGATGCTCCACAGTAACCGGAGGCCGAGCAGCAGTCGCCAAAGCCACTACCAGTGCACTTGTAGCCATTGCTTCCACCACAAGTTCCATCCGGAGATGTGTTTTCAATATTATTGCAAGTGCCAAAAGGCTTTTGACAGCCAGCTTTGCAATGCCCGTCGGAGTTACCACAGTAGCCTGAGCTGCTGCAGCAATCTCCATACGCGGACCCAGTACACACGAATCCGTTGGTTCCTCCGCACGTACCGTCTATCGCTGTGTCAGTGATTCTTTTTTTCCAACTAGTGTCCAGTTGACTTACCTGGGCTGACATCGCCTGGTTTGGGAGGTGTAGGAACCGTAGCCGTATCACATGCGCCATAGAGCGGGTTGCAACCAGTACCGCACTCCGAACCCGTACCACAGACACCACTACCCGAACAACACTTTCCATACACCATGTTGCAAACCTGATAGTCGTTGCTGGGTCCACATCGTCCGTTGGTCGTGTTGCCACTTGCCCAGTTTGGTGGCGGCGGTTGGGGACTTGGTGTAGGCATGCTCACCGTGCAATTACCATACAAGCAATTGCCTGTTCCGCAGAACTCAGAGCCACTCCCGCACCGGTTCGATTTGCCACAGCAACTGCCCCACTTCCCTCCACAGAGCTTGTCGCCGGTGGAAGGACCGCATTGACCGTCGAGCGAGTAGTCACTTGGGTTGTTGACGGCACAAAGACCTGAGGCGCATGTACCGGCTTGACAATCATCGCTTTGTTGACATTGAATCAGCTGTTTTATCATTGATATAGGATTATATGACATACCTCGATTGACCGCACTTCCATGTCTTTGAGTTGCAGCACTGCCCACCAGAATACCCTAAGCATGTTACGAATGACTCGGGCTTGCAAGAGCCGTCAGTCGTTGTTGGCACGACGTTTCCCGCAACACAATACTCTTCGCCCGCTTGGATGCTTGAGCAGTCAGGATCAAGCAGAGGGTTCAGCAGAAAGAACTGATCGATTGTGATGCGGTACCTCTCCGCGAGTTCTGTGCATGTGTAGTAGCTTACAGTTGCCGGTGCCGTGGCGTTGAAACGGCACCGAACTTGCGCAGAGGCTTGCAAGGCAGTCAAGCCAATAATAAGCAGGAGAGTCGAAACGAAGTGCATTTTAGCGATGGAAGATGCTGCACATCGTCTTGAATGGCGAGACAAGAGAATATTCAGAGGGTAGTGTACTTAAAAGCTATAAGTTCTCGATACCAACGTCCAGACTTTGACCCTTTCGCTATCGCTTCCGTCTAACCGACATATGCATGTACTCAGTCTATTGACTACGCTAGTAAAAAGGAGGAACCACAGGGTCGGTAAGGTAAACTTTAATGGAAATTCTTTTCATCACGCTGTATGTGCTACCTAGTGTCAGTGGAGTAGGTTGCAGTGCTAGCTCCCGCCATTGTACTGCTTCTACCGAACAATCTCTACGAGTTTAAGCCCGCCTTCTTGGCAAACCGTTCTGCCTTCCTAATCCAGTCCTGCTCAAACTCTTGGCCACTGGTGAACATGTCGGAATCAAGATAGACCATGAATAAGGCGTCCGGATCCCCTGCGTCTTTGCGCTTTGGCCCAGAAGCTCCAGAGCAGTAGAGACGCGCATTATCTGAATTGCCCCTATTTTCGATTTCGAAGATGGTTTCGCGCAGCTCCAAAGCGTAACGGTGCAACTCGCTGACGAACTGCGCAAATGTGATGGGCTGTCCTCCTGCATTCTCAATCACCAAGGGTGCGGGCCGTTCGTCCAGTGCATCGGCATCAAGCCAGTAATCTGCGCCATACACCACGTCGAAAGCGATGAGCATGCGGGAACGTGGCGGTTGGGTGACAGGTTCTTCAGCGAGCGCATGGTTTGGCGCACCGAGCAGAGGCCGCCACTGAGGGGTGCCGGTGTTGTCCAGTTCGACAATCTGTGCTGTCGTGGCTGGATCCAGGACTGACCACCGAAGCCGATCTGTTAATTCCTCAGCAAACAGACCCTCATCGCCTTCGGGAATAGGGTTGTCCGGAGGTCGTTGATAGTCCGGTGGCAGGGTGTAGAACTCCCCTAGGCCCCCCGTGAAGCTGATTCTAGGCGCATTGGGTTCCATGTCGCGAGAGAATGGTGTGGGAGAAAAGGTTTGATGGAGCCGTGTGATCCTATTGAGGAAATTGTTGATAAATGACCACGGGGCGCGAAATTGTCTATGAGGACTGGTAAGTACCATATGGTAGGAACTTAGTTGTTCCGCCAACCACTATAAATCCTCCCGAGGTCGTAAGCTCCGCTCGGCAAAAACAATACGAGTAACATGCTATTCTTTGGTGGTCAGCTTCTGACAATGACCTCGGCGGCAACAGCGCTGATTTGCCGTCTCTGACCCACTCTCCCGCTCTGAGCCGTGCCCCCTGCATTAGTGTACGGAGATATGCCAGGAACCCGGATAATGTAAATAGCCAGAATCTAACGGGTAAGGATGTTGGTCCCTTAGCACCTTGGCGAGGGAAGTCTAGGCTCTCGCCAAGTCAACTGTGCATTTTAGGAACTTCACTTTTCTAAGAATGTGTGAGCCCACTCTAAGCCAAGACAATAAACAATTCTTGTGGTAAGATACGACTAGTTAGAACTAGAATTGTTGTAGGAGGAACATTACAACCGAAGATTCACTCGCACAACGATGAATTGCACATAAAACCGTCAAGATGTGAACGGGCACACCTGATATTTCTCATAGCCAACTTCATTCTTTTGCCTTCATCATGGCTAGGCTTTCGTTAACAGTCCTGTGGGGCTGCACGCTCTTTTTTTTTATCAATTCATTCATTGACCTTTCCCAAGCTCAGTTCATACAGGACTATGAATGGCGGATGCATAAGGGCCAAAATCATCGTATGCCACCTCCACGACGAAACAAGGTGACAATTCATACAACTAACTGTCGTCTCATTCAGCATTCTGGCGAAGAGAAAAATTACAGACACCTCAACCCGTCCTATTGCCTAAAAATGCTGTCGTTCTCTGGTACAACTGCTATTATATGAGAGCCATCTGTCAGAATGCTCAGGCTTGGCTACAATCCCCACGTGGACAAAACCGACTGCTTAACGATATCTTCAAAGGCTTCAACCAAAATGCTTTCATATTTGGGTACGATTTCAACTCAAAAAAGACCGCAGATAGGGGCAACGCAATGTGTCCTACATCGGGCTCTCGTGCTTGGAAAGATAACCATCCCTGTCCCGAGACCAATCAACCACCGATCATGCCAGACTTCTGGTATTCGACTTCCAGAGAATTTCTCAATCCATTGCACATGAACGAAATCGTAGCTGAGTACGACATTGATCCAACGAAGCCCGCTCTAGATCCAAGCCGATTCCAGTAAGGAAATCTGTTACTCATGTCCGGAAATATCTAACCTCAGCTCTCACAGATTAGCAAAGCGAAGCGGAAGATATTACACGTGCGAGGAATGGCCACCTCGGAGGTGAGTTCAATTTCGTATCCCATTGTCATTATTAACACGCGACTCACATGCCAAATTTTATAGTTTCGTAGAAGGTGGAATTGGTACTCCAGGCCAAGGAGTTACACCTGAAGGCGATGGATCAGCAGGATCCACGATCTGCGCCCCAATGGCTATAACGAATGGATGTAAAAAAGGCCAGACTATTCCTGCGAGCGACAAGAAATGGTCAGAGCAAAGTAAGTACTTGGGGAATTTTGCACGTTTCTAGACTACTCAAGGCACTTTGAACAACCTATGATGTCCGAAGCACGATCGATAAGAGCCAACAGGCGCGTTAGATCTATGCTAATAACTTGGTGATAGACTGGCAAGGCGTCACGCATTCTGCACTCCAAACCAGCCTCAGAAAACATGCCAAAAACGAGTTTAGTTTGACCGATTCTCAACTAGATGACAGAGCAATGATAATCACCCTGTTATTCGAAAACGATGCCAACCTGGCTCCTGCTGGATGTAAGTGGTAACCAATCTTACTGTAAAAAAGTAGCTAACAATTTTCAAGACAGGTTTGGTCCTGGCCAAGCAACAATCTGGAGCGTTGGTATCAGTCATCGATCTGACGACCACGATATGAGTGACATTGGCCACCTCAGCCCTGAAGACAAACTACGGTATATGGCAAATATCACGATTCGCGATGTCAAGGAATGGGGAGGCAATACATTTGAAGTTCACGTCAATGGCTCCTACACTGAAACAAAGATTGCGGCTTCGAATTATGCTGCTTCGGGTGGAGAGTATGGATTCGGGGCGATCAATATGGTCGCGAATGGTTCGGATTCATCGACTGGGGCCGGACACGACCTTTCTCAAAATTCCACCCTTCTGCCAGTAACGGGACACAAGACAGGACAGCACTTCCGCTCGCCACAGGCCGTAGACATTCTCGACCTTGGCACTGCCTATATCTTGGGCAATATCGAGGGTCATGGTGCTTCTACACATGATAACTCGACTATGGGACTTAACAGCACAACACCTGTGGGGTTCAACGACACGACTCTACCCTCTGGCGATCTCCAAAGCCGGCGGCTAAGCTGGTCGCATGCAAACGGCAGGCATCGTGCACTCCACAAGACTGCGCGATCGCCACCACTCCCAGGCAAGACAGATAACACTGGCATCACAAGATTTGCACCCCTTCACAAACGCGATGGGCCAATACAGTGTGGTCCCGGGTCACCCTGCAAGGATGACAGCTGCTGTAGTGCAGACGGCAAGTGCGGCTTCAAAGAGGCTCACTGTGGTGCTGGTTGCCAGTCTAACTGTCAAGCGAAGGCTATGTGTGGCATCGACTCTGCGGATGGCAGCACACCATGCGCGCTGCGTCTCTGCTGCAGCTACTACGGTTGGTGCGGAACAGAGACGGTACATTGCCATGATCCAGAGCCGCAGTTTGGCAAAACACCCTGCCAGGCGGGTTATGGATCATGCACGATGTATGCACCGCCTTCATGCAGTGGAAGATCTGCATCTTCAGGGCGCAAGGTTGGTTACTACCAAGGATGGAACGTTCGTGATCGGAAATGCGATAAAGTCAGCCCGTCGCAGATTAACACTAACGGCCTCACGCACCTCTTCTATTCTTTCGTCTTCTTCGACCCGAACACATTCCAGATGAAGCCTATGAACCCGGATGATGCGAACGACTACAGGGATTTCACATCTCTAGCTTCAAATACACTCCAAACCTGGGTAGCTATCGGCGGATGGTCTTTCTCGGACCCCAGCGAATATCAGATGGCATGGAGCGACATGGTTTCCACAGCGTCAAACCGAGCAGCTTTCATCAGGTCACTGATTGAATTCATGGACACATATGGATTTCAGGGTGCGGACCTTGATTGGGAATACCCTGTTGATGAGAAACGTGGTGGACGAAAGGCTGATGCTGACAACCTTGTACTCCTTGTACAGGAGATGCGAGCTGCTTTTGGCTCTCGTTACGGCCTGTCTCTAACATTAGCACCCGACTATTGGTACTTGCGTGGCTTCAAACCCAAAGCCATGGAGCCATATGTCGACTTTATGGGCTTCATGGCTTATGACCTGCACGGTCCTTGGGACACTGATGTGAAGGCCCTCGGTGAGTGAAGCTCCTCCACTTTGATATCACGACACCTGCTGATAACTGGAAAGGTTCCATTGTCCGACCGCACACAGATATCACAGAGATATACAACAATCTCAAGCCTCTTTGGTTCGATGGCGTAAACCCTGCAAAGATCAATCTGGGCTTGGCATACTATGGCCGCACATACAAGCTTGCTGATGCATCTTGCGGTACAATGAACCAATGCAAATTCACTGGACCAGGTGCAGCTGGAGAGTGTACGGCATTCGAAGGAGTCTTGTCCAACCGAGAAATCAGAGACATGGTCAATAACGGTGCCACACCGTATCTAAACAGGACTGCAATGGTAAAGTATATGAACTATGCTGGCGACAGCTGGGTCGGCTATGACGATGCCGAAACCATCGCGATGAAGGAGGATTTTGCTAACTCCATGTGCCTTGGTGGTACAATGATCTGGTCCATCGATTTTGACGCAAGTGTTGGCGCCGGTGGAGGTTCTACTGGCGGTGGCGGAGGTTCAGAGCTCGTCTGGGTAAGTTTGACCCATTATCCTCTTTGACTTCGAAGTTGTGCTGAAATTCTGCGTCCAAGGTTGATCCTTCGATTTGGAACACGGACAAACCTACTGTAACATGTGAGTTTCCTTGCACGGTAGTCCTACCGCCGTATACAAAGGTCACGACCACCCAGCAGTACCCTCCTGTCATCGTGACAGAGTCCGGCTTTACTACCACTGTTACACGGCCGCCAATAACGGTCTCAGTCATCTGGATCTCTACGCTGGTCGTCGGAGGCGGAAGCGGACAAACTACAAACCCCAATGTACCTGCAACAGTCACCACTGGCCTTACACTGTACACCACACCAGTATGGCCGAGCTTTACTGTTGTAGATCCAGCTGGTAAAACCATAACAACCAGTGCATCCGGATCTCCACCTCCTTTTCCACCCGAGTACACCTCTGGCATTGGAAACATCACGTTCGTTTCTGGGCTCCCACCGCGACCTACAACTACTCCCTACTCAACACCCTGCCCTTACACCACTGCTGCCATGCTTTGTCCACCCTACATCGAAGAGAACACCGATGATGGTGACGAAGGAGAAGACGAAGGCTGCAAAGGCGACGATTGCGACCCAGACGGCGGTGGCGGTGGTGGCGGCGGCGGCGGCGGCGGTGGATGCAAACTAGGCCTGCTCTGTGACATGTGTGTTGGTGTTCACTGCATCAAATGTCTGGACCTCAACTGTTTCAGTTGCCGTGGTCCTGCTTGCAACATCTGCAGTGGTGCCAATTGCGTCGGCTGTAAAGGCCCCACATGCACAACTTGTCAAGGCAAAGACTGCAACGCATGCAGCAAGCCCAACTGTAAAACCTGCATAGGGTCCTCTTGCACAACACCTGGAACTACCTGCGACTCCCTTCAGTGTCCGATTGGCGGCGGTGGCGGCGAAGACCCTCAAGAGGAAGAAGTTCATGAGGACGAGACGAACGAAATCTGCATACCAGTCAATCTACCAGAGGATCCCGAACCCAGCGTACCGGATGACCCAGGTTCGTCAGGTGGTGGATCTGGTGGCGGATCTGGCGGAGGATTTGGTGATCAGCCCGCCCCGACACCTGAACAGTCTCCCGATACCTCAAAAAATTCCGTAACGTGCTATAACAATGGTCAAGCTGCGTCTAGAGGCAACCTGGTCTTTTCCGCCGAACAATTCTGTCAACAGTACGAAGGATTCGTCTTCAAAAGCGGTGATTACAACGCTGTAGAGCTCAACTTCGGCTGGGACGAGCAACATAAAGCTGGACTAAACGTGTTGGTCTATATGGAAACAAAGGCGAACTGCAGATGGGAACTGAACAGGGACGAGTGCAACAAGCAGCTCCTACAAATCATTGACGGCTGCGATCAAAACACAACCGCGGACAAGCAAGGTGGCGTTTTAACGAATAACTGCCTTTCCTGGCGCATCGATCCGGAAATCAACAAAGATATCGCGCCGCCATCGCCACCACCTCAGTCACAGCCACAACCGCAGCCAGACCCCGATCCACCAAGACCTAGCGTGCCTGAGACCAAGGAGGGTCGTAAACCAAGGTTCGATATCTACGCGTCTTCAACAACCAGACCAAATGGTATTTCCTGGTGGAACGCGCGATACGGTCAACACGGCGTTGCCTACTACGAAGATTACAACACATGTAGTGTGGCCTTTGGATGGAAGAGCGGGGATGTCATCAACAATGCCTCCATGCCGAACTCGATCAAGGGCATCACGAAAGTCTTCAGTGACACATGCGATTACGTTTCTTCTGTCGTCCACGAAGATGCCGAGGATGGGGATCAGGTCGGAGAGTTGAAGTGTAGCAAGTACGCCTCGGCGACTTGTAGAAGAGCAGATGAGATTACTACGTGTGGTCAGACGAATTATCTCCTTCGTGTTACGTGTACTTGGGATTAGAAGGCCAGTAGGTTGGAAACATCTTTTTTTCCAGATGCTGATCGATATGATTCGCTCTATCTCAAAGTATTAATTTCGATTAGGGCTACTTTCCTTTAAAATTGATTTCCTTTGAGGTGTTGTCACGTTCATGCTGTTTGAAATGATTGATACAGACTAGCACATTAATTGCAGCGTAGTTTGTTCTTCTGCATAAATGATTGTAACGACCACGAATGGAGCATTTGCCGTAACTGCTGAACAAGTTTTTTTTATCAAGTTCGAAGACGAAGAGTTTCTTGTCCAAGCGTTGTGAGAGAAAATAACTGTCTTCGCACACAACACTTCCGATACTTACGTTAGCACAGGTAGAGTGTTTGGAAAACGCTTTGAATCGTCTTCGACTGTCTTTTTCCATAGCTCCATGCAAATCCACCTAATTTGGAATCTCGAATGTATCTTTAGAGGTGTCAGATTAGATGAGATAATGCATAGAATTAATAGATGTTGATTCTTTTTTGTCTTCTCCCTGGAAGGTGGTGCTATCATGATGTATATGCTCTCGTACAAATAAGGCCGAAGTAGGACCGAGGCGGGTCGGCCAACATGGCTGCAATCGACACCGATGCTAAATTGCCTGCTGGATGGCCTTCCATCAGACAGCAACACATGCTATCTGACAAGAGGCGACGAAGGGAGTTGAGATGGGCTGGTCGTTGATGCTTGCGCTAGGCTCAGGCTTGCTAATCAATCAATTCAATTCAATTTCGGTCCTAGTTGAATTGAGTTGCTTATGTAATCGCGAAAAGACAAGTTGAGTTGAGTTGAATTGAAGCAACTCTGTGTTGATTGACAGCATATTGCCAAGATATACGGACAGGGGTATGCAATACAAGCGAACCAATCACATTTCAGTGACTGGTCTTGGCGAAATGTGATTGACTTAACGAGGTGCTCACAGAAAAGCTATTAGGAACTATACCCAATCTCTGCCAGATTGCCAGACAGATAGACGCACCGATGACATCCGTCTTAAGCCTTCCCCGATTGGCCACCGTTAGAAGACCGCTAAGGCTAAAGATGCGCCAGTGATCGGAATGGTCCGGTATGGTATGGTATGGAGGTCAAACCATACCATACCAGCTGCTTATGTAATAACCGGTATGGTCTTACCGGTAAGACCAGTAAGACCGCCAAGACCGCCAAGAATGAGGTTGAAGTTGTAGAAGGAAGAAAGAGAATGTATATACTAGTAGATATCGACCATATCATCGCCATTCTCACTATCCTCGCTATTGCTGTTATCTTCAATTTGGGGCCTTCCATACCAGGCCCGGAGACATTCACAAGCCTCTATAATATCTGCCTTCAGCCTACCACGGCGATCGACGATAGTAAGCTTCGCGCTACTAAAAAGACGTTCGCATTCATCCGACATAGGCGAGATCGCAAACATGTCTAGAGCGAAGCGAGCGAGATCTCTTTGGGAGTCGTAGCGAGATAGCCAGTACGCAATAGCCTCATCGCAACCTGCCTCTTCGTCATGAAGCCGGTCAGTAGAGATGTACTGTTCATACAAATCAGTTGTAGAGACCGGAGCATCTATTCGAATACGCTTGTGTTCCTCTGGCGATCAAATGCTGGGTCAGGATCTCTCTCCTTCCTGACTGGTGGTGGTAGCATCTCAACAAGGTACCTTCCCTTGTACTCTGTCTCCCAGAGCTGCTTCACGGCCGATTGTGCGTTATGAAACCACCTCTGCTTTTCCTCGTCACCTTCGAGAACCCATTCTTGCCTAAACCATGCCCACTTGCGATATGGATCGAGTATTTGAGCTGCATAGTACGCTGGTGGAAGATCAGTATCTTCAGGGAATCGACTTTGCCAATTCAGCTGCTGATTGTTGTAATATTCCTCGCATTTTGATCACGCGGCATCTGCACAACTTTGGAGGTACTTCCATGTGAAGTTATTGTCGTCTTCGGTATGGATGTTATAGTAGTGATCTTTTGTCTCGTTTATTTCTCGAAGAAGGCAGTCCAAGGTTGAGAACCAGTCAGCGAGGGAAGTCCTTTTTTCCTCAGAAAGCAAAGTTGCAGCGTAGAAGTCTTTTAGAGCAAGTTCAATCTTTTCAAGCTCGAACCAGTGCTGTCCATCAAGTTTGAAGTTCGCAATCCCATGAGAGCCCTTCCCAGGTACATGGCGAGCCGAGAAGAGCTCTAAACGTTCGCGAACATTCAAAGCACGTGTAATCGAATGAAACCATGAGTTCCAGCGTGTCGAGTTGTTCTGGATAAGCTCGAGCCCATCGAATTCAGCAAGATCTCCGCCGATAATTATCGCAGCAAACTCCTCACGCCGTTGCGGAGTCAGCCTAATGTACCGCACGAGGTTATGAAGCCGACCTAAACATCCAAATCTTTTCCAGAGCTCTTCTACCTTCGTATAGTCTCCGCGTTGATAGTGCTTTTCAAGCTTTGCTACATACTTTTCACAGTTCCGACCCATGAGGAACGCCTGGCAACAGAGGTTGATGACATGGCCCAAGCAACGCAGCCGGCGATGGCGACGTTGTTTTGACTTCATCCATGGGCAGAGATCCTTGAGTATGAACTCAACAGCGGTATCGTTTGACGAGGCATTATCCAGCATGAAGTAGCCAATCTGATCTCCGCCAATATCATATTCTCTCAGCAATTCAAGGACAACTGATCCAATGTTTTCGCCAGTGTGTTCGCCGTACACACGTCGTAAACCCAAAACGATAGTTCGCCGCTTGCCGGTAGCGTCAATCCACATGGCGATGACACCTAGAATAGCGTAAGGGTTTGGCGAAGTCTAGAGGTCAAAGGAGATGGAGATTCTACTCCGCGAGTGCTGGAGGTCCTCTCTAAGCCGTTGCTTCTTCGACAGAAACGCGTCCATAACCCAACTTCGAATAGTTTTTGCTGCCTTTGGGAGGTGGTTGAGAAGTGCCGGATTCAAAAAGAAGAGTAGTTCTCGGAAATACTGATTTTCTAATTGAAAGAAAGCAATATGGCAGTACACAATCCACCGAATTAGAAGCTCTTTGAATTTCTCAATTGAGTCTTTCCAGAAGAAGGTATTAGTAGTAGCCGCGCTCTTCTGCTGCTCCAGTACAGACTTCCGTGTCGAGCTATGATTCTTGATACCACTCTTGGGATCAATCTGGTGCTTCTGTTCAAGATGATTTCTCACTCCAGACGTGCCGTTAATAACAAACAGCTCTTGCCTAAACTTTCCGACAGCACACTCGTGACAGTAATACACCTCCTTCTTATCACTGTCTCGAATGTAATGGAGACCATACTTCCATACATGCGATGAGCCTAGACGAGCTGCCTTCTTTGTCGTCTTCGCGCGATTCAGGTATGTGATGTGGTCTTGTACAAACTCATGCGGAGGTTCGGGATATTGAATAGGGGCAGGTGATGGCGTCGAGACAGGTAATGTGGGAGCAGGTGATGATGTAGGAGTCCTGAGGGACATTGACGCTAAACGTGTCGTCAACGATGACGGCGAGACTGGAACTGGAGATTCCATGATAATGGTATAAGAGGCTATCGTAGACTACGATTGTTAGTTCAGGTTAAGGATTTCTTCGGATGCACTAGCCAGTTTAGTCGGGAATCCAGCCGCCTGCTGCCCCGAGCTTCTTAACCTCGGCCCATTTTTAGCCTTACCGGTTTGACCTGGTATACCGGTAATACCATGGTATTGAGATCTTCTCAAACCATACCAGGTCTTGGCGGTATATACCATACCAATACCAACTCATACCGGACCATTCCGATCACTGGTAGCAAAGAAGATCTGTTTTGTTGATGAAGTCCGCATCGCGTGGTAGGAGCCATTTGTTGGCCTCCTGGTCGAAGCTGCTGCCGACAGTCTTGTCTGCAAACCCTCGCGGATAGCCAAAGCTAGCCACATACGAGCCGTTAGCGGCGATGTTGGCGAGCTGTTCAACCCATGAGTGGGCGTTGGCCCAGTTGGCTGTCAGCACCAAGAGTGCAGCAAGTGCTTGATACCGCATGTTCGAGGGAAAATGTAGGAAGTCAAGGGCGGTCCCAGTCGTAGATCGTCACCTATGATATACTTTTAGCCTTCTTGCTTATGATATTTCTATGCCGCGCTCAGTCAGTGCAATTACTCGAATGCGTGACGATGCTTCGCTTATGCTGATGCAGACATGGTAATACTAGTCCATGTAATCCTGATATCCTGATATACTAGTATTACTTATACTAGTATATCAGGATTATCTTAATCGTTGGACTAGTCCAATACTAGTCTAACAGCCTTGGCATTGTTTCGACCCCGAAAATCTCTACGTCTCCGTGTCAGATACAAGGCGAAGCTTAGATGTACTGCATAGGAAAGAGCTATCAATAGTAGGACCGATAACTACTTCGATCTGCGGAAGCTCCGGAAGCAGAGGAGATATAGGAGAAAGCGGGGAACAGAACACGAACAAGAGAATCATCATTTTTGACACTTCATCTCGATCATCAATTTCTGCTAAGCGCATTTCAGCATTCTATCTGACACTCCATTCTGAACATTCCACATGTTCGTGTATCTCTCAAGATCAATATCGAATAACCCTTGTTATGGACTCGGAGTCTAGCACGTCTCAATTATCGTCATCACAGCCAGGATACCCGCCTTCTACTTCGAACACAGCGACCGCACGACTCGAGAAATTCGAAACCGTTTTTAGGAGGACATATCCGGACCCATCCGCACATGCCGTATCTCGTCCTGCATACACAAATGCCGAACTCAGACTACGCAGAACAAGCGGGGCCGTGCTCTATGTCTGTCTATCTCCAGGCTGCAAATGGAGCAACGGTAGTAGGGGCAACTGCGTCAAACATGCTAGACTCCATGACATCACCATTGTGAACCCGAAACGGCTTCCATCACGCAGAACCGCATCCACGGCCTCATCCACAGCCTCAACACCCAACATTCTTGGATATATGGTGCCTCGGGGCGAAGAAGCCACTCTCAGAAGGGCGTTTAATCATCAACGCTATATCGAGGCGCTAATATCGCTCTTTACGGTTCATCGATTACCTTTTTCGGCGATTGAATATGGTGCCATTAAGGAGTTTGCCCTCGCATGCAATCCGAACATCGAAGACATGCTGCTTAGCAATCGCCCTATGCTTATGCGGCATTTGAAAGCTAATTATTCGCTCTATAGTGATCAATTGAAGGAGTCCCTGCAAACAACAATGTCTATGATTCATTTTAGCACTGATCTCTGGACGTCGCCACACAAACATTCAATGCTCGCTATTTGCGTACAATGGCTCGATGCTGACTACAACCTTCGAAAAGCTCTTCTCGGACTCGCGGAGTGCCGGCATTCTCATAGTGGTTCCACGCAGGCTGCAATAATCATGGAATACTTCGAGATGTACAGAATTACCCATCGCCTCGGCTACCATACTGCGGACAATGCCACTTCGAACGACACCTGTTTACGGGCAGTATCTGCAACGCTAAGGGACGAACATAATGTCACATTTGACGCCGTACATCGCCGAGTCCGCTGCATAGGACATATTATCAACCTGTCCCTTCAAGCCTTCCTTCTCGCACGTTCAAAAGAAGCTCTTGCGGCAGCCATCGCAGCCGCCGAGTCTGTCGCCGATAACAAGGATATTGAGAGACTGTCAACACAATTAACAGCGCCGTCGACGTCCTCTCAAAGAGGTGACACTAGGTCACAGCGAACTACCACGAACACAGCCAGCGGCGATAAATGCAGCGGGTGGGAAGGTATTGCACCGCTCAGAAAGCTTCACACCATTGCTGTATGGCTGGATCTCTCCTCACTCCATTCTGATATGTGGAGAGATGCCGTGGGTCTTGAACTAGGCACGGATAATACCACACGCTGGTCGTCGTGGTACAAAGTCATAAACAACGCCATCAAGAAGAAGGCACAGATCAACCGCTTCTTTACTCAATATGACCACGATCTTGGCGAAAATATGCTAGATACCTCGGATTGGGTGTTATTGGAGAGAACCCAGATATTTCTTCAAGTCTTTGACGAAGCCACTCGGGATGCCGAAAGGGACCATGCATCTGTTGCAGATGTGCTTCAGCTAATGGATGCGATCCTGCAGCACTACGAAGACACAAAGTTGAAACACTCACCAGATGGCCCCGAGCCTGACCCTTGTATGCTACATGCCATTGACATGGGCTGGTTTGTTCTTGATAAATACTATGCCTTAACGGACGAAGCACCTGTATATACTGCCGCTCTTCTCCTCGATCCCTCGAGACGACTGGCCTACCTCGAAGAGAACTGGCCAACTGAGTGGCATGCCGCTGCAATCGACAGAGCACAGCAGGTATGGGAGAGTGAATACAAGGACTTCGTCCTTCCGGAGGAGGTCTCTATTCCTGCCGCTCCTGCTGTTGTACAGTCCGCGGTGACACCACTTGAGCGGTTAAAGCAACGCACACAGCCGAAAACCACCGTATCCACGGATAGAGATACATTCGATGCTTTTATTAGAGAGGATCCAGTTGACCTTCATGGCAGTACAGCACTAGAATGGTGGTGTCAACCGGAGCGAAGACGGCGATATCCACGACTTCACCGCATGGCTGTGGATATACTTTCGATCCCACCGGAATCCGCAGAGCCAGAGCGTACATTCTCAGGTGCTCGACGAACCACACGTTGGGATAGATCGAGACTGACTTGTGATAACATTGAGCTCATTGAATGCATCAGCAACTGGCTGCGCAACCGCCATATCAGGACTGGGGGTGTGGTTTTGCATGAGGACGCGGTTGATAATATGGATATCGATGTAGCAGTAGTGTAGAGGTTAATCGATTCAATCGCGATTTGTACGGCGATTTGTGTCTTGTAGCTGGACACTAGAAAATGCCAAGGATATCAGGATATCAGAAATGATATACTAGTATACTAGTATAAGGATTTCGGTAATACTAGTATACCAGGATAAGCATTTTGGAACTGATATACTAGTATTACCATGTCTGTGCTGATGTATCTATTGCGGGGTGAGCAGAAGCAGGTGGGAGGACACCGTGCCGCCGCTTGCATCTGCACCCTTCTTGCCTTGCAATTTCTAGTTCGTGGAAGCATCCATTTCCACGAAAACGCCAGAAAACTCTCGCCGAAGGACAGTGACAGAGTCTAGAAAATCCCGGGCAGTCGCGACGCGGAAGCATATGAGTCTTGTGATGAAGGCTGTAGCATCCTCGTCAGTAGTTTTATGATCATCAGCAGGCTTCAAGAAGCATAGCATAGTTATGTATGGCTGTGTCCTGATAGGATTGCAATCTGGGGACATGTCTCTCCATGCGACTGTCCGCTCAACATACCTCATCTACCGTTGCATTCCCTACTTGCTGTGTCGTGCAAATTAAATTGCAGTCGCGCAAAAGCGCTGTCCGCCTTCCTGAGTCACCTCTCCACCGTTGCTGCAGCCAAAGGAGTTTCCGTTTCTTCCTCGTCTTGTGGTCACCGGCTGACCAGAGTTAGCAGTATTCGAAGTTGGTCTTCCGCGTTACCTTCGCAGAACATGTAGTCTATCTAGCGTACGCTGCCAAAACGCTGTCCTGCGTGCAAGACAGGAAAAGAGACGTGCCAAAACGAAGATCGCAGCTGCATGCACGTCTACTGAGGATGACCATGCAACACTACTTCCCACTGTCAAAGTGCGCTGATTTGGAATGTGGCGACCGTGGGAAGACATGGTCTAGCAAGCGTGATAAGCACATATTTGTGACAGAGTGCTGTAGCTGCAACGAGCAATTATGTTCCAGACTCGATATTTCTGCCATGCAAATATTGCTTATGGTAGTCCTGCTGATGGTGCAGAATGTAATCACGCCCACTGCTTTCGCGTCATTATAAGAACGTCGGCACAGCTGAAACCAAAGCAAACAAGCTATCCTCTCAAGATCCACTACGTCGCTACAATCTGCCATGTCTCAAGTAAACGTCAAGGAAACAACCAGCGGGTCGAGCTACGTCGCAGAGCTACAAGTATTGGCAAAGGAGTCGTCAAGGATACTAGTAGAAGAAGGAGGCGTGTACAAAATCCTAGATCAGAAGGCTTATGAAGAAAGGGACATAAGCGTTCCTGATGGGATTCCTCGTTTCACTAGTCGCGACCACCGGAGCCAGCTAAAAAAGGCTGGCTACGATAAGATATTGCAGGGTACGATCTTGGAGTATGGGGGTAAATTGCTCTTCGTTTATCGTCTGCGAGACACAGATTCATTCCAGTGGTTGAAAGAAAAGAATTTCGAGAAAGTGTTCGGCAAGGACGAGGCTGCGCGCTTCAAGAGAGATTTTGCATTCGCGTCTGCTGGCAAACCAGTCACTCGGGCTCAGGAAGAGATGGAAGACAACGAGAATCACCTGACGGGAGCTGGCCATAGAGAGGTCGAGACACTGTCGCACTGTCTTGTGCAACTCGTTGAAACACTCATGACAACGATATCCAAAGACGGCAAATTCTCACCAACACACCTCAGAAGTTATCTTGCCAATTCTTTTGGACAGTGTTCCGAAACGTTACGAGAGCATCACGAAGCTGACCTACAAGAATCTACATCAAAGGACCAGGTGGATAGCACAGAAAATTCCAGCAAGTCTACGGTAGCAGCGTAGAATCGACACAGGAAGGCACCTTATAGAACATGGAGGAGAAATATCTTTTTTATTAAAATTGTCATCAAGGAATACTGTTGAATTGGCCAAACGAGGACTCATCCTGCATCCATCGTCTTACACGACACCTTACTCGAGCGTTCAGTATGATACTGGTGTGATACCAAGTCGTACTGTACTCTCACATATCGTTCTGTGATTTATCTCACGCTCGCGTTTATCCTATCCCATGCCATGTATGCGGCTGTGATGTGCTTACCCACGCAGAGAAGACCTCTATGTAAAGGAAATCCCCATCGCGGTCCGCCTCTATACAGTTTCGCTTTGCTCAGTAACTTCTCAGGATCTTGGGCTGCGTCCAAGAAATCTTGTTATCTTGGAATTTTTCGGCGTGTGGGAAACATATCTGCTCGAGTTAACACTATGTTTCTAAAGAGAAAAGGGTGATCAGCTTCGCCTCGAACAAGTCTAGAGATACAGACAGGAAGTACGTTAGTGAGCTCTGAAGAGATCATGGTTGTCCAAGCGGATTACGTTAGGTGGAGATGTAGCGCGTGCGCAATCACAGTGGATCAGTCACTGCGGTAACATGCCGCATCACTGAGAGTAGAATTCAGGGAACAAGTTCGGGGAAGCGGCTCCTAGTATGTCTGCGTCTGATCGTAATTGACCCTGTTATAGCTAGGAAACCACGCCATTGCGTACAAACTACATAAGAGCAGGTCGCGTTCTGGCAATTTTCTAGCTCTTCTTCAATCCTGTCTTCGAGGTATTTGGATGTGTGGCGGTGTCTGAAACAGATACCGTGAGCGCGCATGCTGCGCCGACGCGCTTAACTGGCCTTGCCAGGCTGTGTTGTAGATATGCCACATTTGCTTTCCGAATTTCGAACTACTGCATAGTCAACCCCACGCGTTGTTATGGGCGTCCTCAGGGCCTCTGTTGAGATCGTCGACGTTGTGGTACCATTGACGATGGGCAGGTTGGGTACGCACGTGCGAGCCATCACCAAGATTCGTCCCACTCTCCGCCGAACTATGTAGCAGTGGGATTGGCAAAACGACAGCAGTGTTGTTGAAGGCGAGCATTACTCGCAGCGTACAGATCGCTCTTCGTAGCATAGTCGGGTTCTTGCATTGTCCCGCATCCTCGCTGCATGGTTGGAGGCGTGGCCCATCACAGCAGTCGGGTTGGCTGTCACGGGTCCAGCAGGCGCGAAGACCACCTCGTAAGCTTTGCCGCATGAGCCGCGCACTGCAAGAGCTGTCTGATGGTACCTGCATCGCATCGGCTGATGTGTAGAGCCAAGATGCCCGGACTCGGTTCAGAAGTTGGCCGAAATGCTGGGGCAAGGCTACTGACAAGGCCAAGGATGGGATAGCATAGGCGTCGTGTACGTCGAGCGTTGCATACAATACCTGTAAAGGTGCTTCACCCAGTCAGCACCAGGCTCGTCAGGCAATCAAGCGTGACAGATCGACTGCGAACTGGACCTGATCCTGTGATACAAGCGAGACTGATCGACACACGGCTGGGGCATCTGCATAAGCAATTTGGAGGATCCGTCGGCTCCGCGCAGGGCTGTCACGACGAGAACTGTGCCCCAGTGGAGCGTCTGCTTGGCAGTAAGCAGCTTACGGTTCCCAAGTGGGTTTGCGCACAAGATCAAGCGACAGAGATTTCGGCGTCCAAGCGAACCGCGTTTACTTCGCTCACCTTCTGTACACGCCGTAGTGTAGACAAGGGCAGGCCAGGCTCCTGCAAGCAGCTGTGCCGCGCAATCTGCAGGTTCACGCGCGAGCCACTTTGCGACAGAGGAGCCTGAAGCGGGGCCGCGGTAAAACAGCGACCGCCCCCCAGCTATCTCGCTGCATGTCCTCAGTCTCGCCACGCTTCCCAATGCCACAAAACATGCACTTCCCTTCTCAAAAGGTGACGCTGTAAGACGTCAAGGATCGACCCACTCAGCTCTTTTCCCATTGCTATCGCCGTCATTTCAGCCAGCTCGCCGCCGAAAACAGCCGCCACCGCACCACCATCCGCGCATCCGTCCGCCTTCCTTCGACGACAAACAAAGCAACAGAGCTCTTCTAGGGGTTAAACGTGAAGAATAGAGATAGGCCGGAGGTAGAAAATCAGCACGCGCGTCCGTCACAATTCATCATCGCGTCTTTGGGCTTACCATTCGGCAGCTATGCCCAATGGCCTCGGCACCGGGAGAAAATCCCGTATCATCGCAGCGATTACAGTCGCGGATTCAAGAGATACGACTGCGTCTGGGAAAACACAATACATCTCGGAAAATTGCTAGCAGCACGAGCCCCGTTCACCCTGGTTACCCAGATTCTCTTAACTACATACAGACCCCGGGCAGAACCCCTATACTCGAGCTTCCCAATGAGCTTCTGTTGATGATAGATCGTCATCTAGACAAGCAGGCTTTATTGAGCTTATTGCGTGTCTGTAAAAGCCTTCATAAACTACTTGGAAAGTGCAAAATATTTACTGCTTGGGAGTGGCTTGCAAACGACCCCCTTGCTGAAGGAACCATGAAGCTGCTTGAGCAGCTCGAGGCCAGGGATTCTCAGTTTCTGTTAGTCAAGGGTTTTAGGCGATACAAACCCGGCACCGATCAAAGAGGAACTCTCAAAAGCTTTCTAGCTGGCAGGAAGAACGACAGCAAGCTGTGCACCTCATTACTCAGGATTGATCTGACGGCAAGGCTGGAACAAGACGCACAATTTCTGTTGGAACATGGGGCAGATAAAGAGGAATGGAAAAGTTATAAGCAGCATCGACATCGAAGAGAGGACAAGAGGCCGTTGAATCGCCGGCGAGCCAGACTGCAGGGGGCCACGGCTGCTAGGACCGCTTGCATCAGCACATTAGAAACCGTGGGAAGAGATAGAGAGAGTCTAGTAGGGCGCTGAAGAGCCCTGGGGTACTTAGATCCAGAAAGAAAAACCAACAATGAACGCATTGAACAGAGGCACAGTTTGCGATGAATCTGTGCCAGACCTTCCCGACCAGCCTTTACTGCGGGTGTGGATGTATCCAAACATACGATCCCGCCTTCATTCTTTGAATGCACGTTCTAGCGGATGGAGAAGATCCAGGACACCAAAGGCTATCTTCCACTGCTTGACAATGAGTGGAAGATCATCGGGAGACTTGAGGAAGTCTAACTAAGAAGATTCGCTTTCTGAGGATCCCAGATTTTGAAAGGGGATGTCTCCACGGGTTACGGCTGCGGCACTTCTCAAAGATCGGGTACCAAACGCTACGTGGCTGGCAAGCGAGCGAACAGACCTGCGGACAGTTGATACTGCGCTGATCATGGAGGTACATCTCAAGGGAGAGGGACAGGATCGCCCGGCTCGATGTAAAGATGCGGTACAGCAACCACGCCGCAGTCACGCGATAGCCAACAGGACAGCGCCTGGCGAGAGCGAGTCGACGTGGTACATCCGATAGTGTTCTATACAAACGTCTTGCCCTTTACCTTTAGAAAGGATTCAATGCGGAATGCGCTCACTGGCAAAGCTCCCCTGTTGAGACTAGCACGACCCTGGCATGTCTTGTCCTCAGTTCAGCTACGTGGCCAGGGCAGCTCGATATCAGTTTTCAACGACGAAGACTTACCGGAATCACACCTTCTACATTAGCATACATGGGGCGAGACAGCAGACCGTCGATGGAAGTCGGACGGTGCGCGGGGTCGAAAACAGCAATGACACAGCGCTGGCAGCCTTCTTGCGATGCCATATTTCCTAAGCCTCCAAGGTGCTTATTGCTTACCGGCCGTCATTTTCGACATGTGCACCAGCAAGCACACGACCCTTGATGTATAAGCACCTGCCATAGGGAGGCATTCCCGTAACCATCTAGTGCGACGTTTTGCTCTTCCCACCGACTCCACGGTGTGTTGATCAGCCCGAGAGCTTTAGAATACTCGAAGTCTATCACCCGCTACTATACTGGCGCAGCAGTCGTTTCAGGCTTACCTCCTCACACAAGACAATTGACATTGAGCCACTGTACACGCTGAGATGGCGAGAGGGTGCGTCGCTCGAACTATCTGTGTTCTGCTGTCTATGACGGCGGCAGTAATGGCAGAGCCCTCACCATATGTAAGCATGCAATTGCATAACAAGCCCTTACCATTCTTTGAGATGTTGCCAGGAATGTGAGCCGTCGGAATGTTCTGTACGATCCTGTACCGCACAGCAGCAGACAACACGCATGCCTGGTTGGCATGGGCCGGCCCAAAAGGTATTGCGGTCGATCCCTGCAACCCTGCGGGGTTCAACCTTGTGATTCTCACCGAAGTGGCAATACATCAAGGTGAAGGATTTCCCGGACTAGGAGACGTAATATGGGAAAATAACCTTCCAAAGTACCATACGGATGATTGCACCGTCAAGGGTAATGATGTCAATAGCCCTCCCACAATCGATTGTGGCAAAACTTATGTACAGGACTTCAAGCGCGACGCGCGATGGGGGGACTTTGAGTTGGCCATATAAGAGTGAATTTATCGAAAACGCTCCACTGGTTATATTGTGTTCAGTACTTTGTGGTACAGCACCGCATAACGAACCCCTCACAGAAGACATGCGCTAACTAGTTTAGCCCTCTCTCCAATGTACGTCAGGCCCCTACATCAAGCGACACAGAAGAGTATCCATAGCTTATCTAGCAATATAATTCTTATTCAGCCACTTCACGAGCTTCCCAATCGCTCCCGACTCTAGCGTTTGCGGGCAACTCTGACTCGAAGAATGTTGAAGTAACCCCGAGAGCGTCCGAAAATCGCGATTGCATTTCTGACACTGGAAAGGCAATAAAATATCAGTGTACGGCTCTCTGAGATCTTCTCCCGCCCGCATCTTTGCACGGAATTCCTTGTTGATGTACGTTCTCGCTTGGTAACATTGGGCTGCAATCATGTTCAAGCCTTGCGAAGTCAAGTCCGACTGGCATGACCCAGTCTCCAGGTGAGCTATCATATCTGGGACGTCCTTGAACTTCCAATAGCACCCATAGCATTCCACGGTGCGTTCTATGTGAGTTACTTTGTGCTTTATATGCCAGTCAGCCTAGAGACAACCGAGGTGCTGAGGTCGCTCACATTTTCCAGATTACTGAGGCTATCGAAGTGGCTCTCGCACACCGGGCAAACGTGTGCTTCGACTACATGTCCACTGGTGTGTTGTCCTGGTATCGTCTTATCGCTGTCGCCATACCCTTGACAAGATTCTCTTCGTTGAGTAGAGTGATGGTGTTGGACCAAGCCTTTCGATGGCATATCGTCAAGCTCGCAATCGAAATCTCTGTGGTGATAACTGGTGCCGTTGCATGCAAATGGTTTGTTATAGTTTTGATCGCCTGCACTTTGGAGGGAAGCGTGAGCAGCTGACTAGGCAATGACGAAAGCTGTCGTACCGGACGGTCATGATCGTGATCATTGAGACGATTATGTAGACGCGCTACGTATGTATTGTTTGCGACAAGTCTTGTTTCTGGACCTGTAGTGAGTTGTGGATGCAAATAATGCTCAAGGCTATTCCCCCGAAGGGAAGATCGGTCGAACTGTACATTTGAAGTATGGCATTACGGTACTGTACTAATTCAAACGCCTTCTACTACAAACCTCAGTTGCCTATCTTCCATTTACCAACAATTGTAGTCCGATCGTGCATGACAGCCTCCGAACAACAGACATAAGCGGCTTACGAGTAAGCGGTCACGTGATAGCCATGCCCCACAATTGCTGTGAGTGCTTACCGTCTCGTCCAGGTCGCCTCCTATGCGACCATAACAGCAACGTAGCTTACACTCGCTTGCAGAATCGGCTTCCGGTATCTACACTTCGCGCTCTTTCTCACAGCAGGGGGTCAGCCTCGCTTAGCGGGAGCTATACTTTATACGCTTTAGATTAACTTAAGCTGCCCAGCTCCTGCTAGTATCTGTAACATGATACTTCTCTATCGCTGGAAGCTCATAACCCTGTGGCTGGTGCGGGTCAACCGTCCTCCCTGCTAGCGTCGCTGGAGGAGTTGGTCAGTTTAACGATGTTGAAGTGGCGAATCTTCAACGCCAACGTCGTAGTTCTAAAAGTAGCTATCTCACTACTACTTGAATTTGGGGCATGCTTGAAGCTTCTCTGTGTTAAATCAATGTAGTATACAGTTATGCTTATCCCCAGCCCTCTATAAGATAGAGAAATGATAATTTGTATAAGAACAAGTTACGTTAAGTGAATATTGTATCCTGAGTGTGACAGATCTACGAACGGCAGCTAAACACATGGCCAGCCAAGCGCAGAGACAGCAAAGGATTGAGGGTACGCAGCCCTAAACCTTGGGTCGTTCAACGTTGGAGTGGGCGCCCCTGTCGAGCAGCAGCTTCACCACCGCCTCGTGGCCTTCAATTGAAGCCGCCTGGAGTGCGTTGCCGTAGCGTCCACCCTGCGCGTTGACATCGGCGCCCTTGTCGAGCAGCAGTTTCACTACCGCCTCATAGCCTCCCCATGAAGCCGCGTAGAGTGCGTTGCTGTAGTATCCACCCTGCGCGTTGACATCGGCGCCCTTGTCGAGCAGCAGCTTCACCACCGCCTCGTGGCCTCCCCATGAAGCCGCCTGGAGTGCGTTGCCGTAGTGTCCACCCTGCGCGTTGACATCGGCGCCCTTATCGAGCAGCAGCTTCACCACCGCCTCGTGGCCTCCCCGTGAAGCCGCCTGGAGTGCGTTGCCGTAGTGTCCACCCTGTGCGTTGACATCGGCGCCCTTATCGAGCAGCAGCTTCACCACCGCCTCGTGGCCTTCAATTGAAGCCGCCTGGAGTGCGTTGCCGTAGTCTCCACCCTGCGCGTTGACATCGGCGCCCTTGTCGAGCAGCAGCTTCACCACCGCCTCGTGGCCTTCAATTAAAGCCGCCTGGAGTGCGTTGCCGTAGTATCCACCCTGTGCGTTGACATCGGCGCCCTTGTCTAGTAGCATCTTCACTACTGCATCGTGGCCTCTTTCTGAAGCCGCCTGGAGTACGTTGCCGTAACGTCCACCCTGCGCGTTGACATCGGCGCCCTTGTCGAGTAGCAGCTTCACCACCTCCTCGTGGCCTCCCGCTGAAGCCTCCTGGAGTGCGTTGCCGTAGTATCCACCCTGCGCGTTGACATCGGCGCCCTTGTCGAGCAGCAGTTTCACTACCTGCTCATAGCCTCCCCATGAAGCCGCGTAGAGTGCGTTGCCGTGGTATCCACCCTGCGCGTTGACATCGGCGCCCTTGTCGAGTAGCATCTTCACTACTGCATCGTGGCCTCCTTCTGAAGCCGCCTGGAGTACGTTGCCGTAGAGTCCACCCTGCGCGTTGACGTCAGCGCCCTTGTCGAGCAGCAGCTTCACCATTCTTTGATGTCCATGTTCTGCTGCAAGATATAGGGGAGTCTGGCCGTGGCTATCTCTTCTTTCTAATATGTGTGCTGTCTCTCCTACTTGGTTTGGGAGCAGTGCCTCCAATACAATGGCTAATCCGAAACGTGCTGTAAGATGCAATCCCGTGTTGCCTTTGGGATATAGCTGGCTATACTCCCGATATTTGTATTCTGGACGTAAGAGTACCTGCGCAGCGCAAGAAACTAATTCTTTGTAGGAAAAAAATGAACAGGCTAGATCACATATCTGATCTTCCACTGTTAACGCATGCTCTCCCCAGTGCTTGGCAGCATAGTCTAAAATTGGCTTCCTTGAAGCCTCTCTTCAAGTTCCTCGTCAGAGGAGCAGCTCCCAGTTTTAAATATGCTAAATGATAGGTACGTGAGACAGGTCGAGGCTATATGTGTTTGAGCGCCTGGATTCCATGCATCTCGGATACGTTCAAAGTATTTTGGGTGGTGTAATGCACAAGACGGATGACAGCGCTTTCGTGATCAACGACGACTAGTCCAGCACACACGGACAATAGGTCCTCAACATCAGGTATGTTCTCGGGATCGAGCTCCGCCTCGTCAGGCTCTACTGCCAGAGCACAGCAGATCTCTGTCGTGGTAAGCGGCCGCTTGGCATACGTGATCCACGACAGTACTCTTTTGGCTAGTTCGTAATCTCCGCTTAGCTGGCCTTCTATGCGTTGGGTTGCTTCCTTGTATGCGTCATCGAGTGCGGCTGAGCCTTTGGAGAGCTTAGTCAAGGTTGACTTCACCTCCTTCGCCGTCCTCTTGTCTAGCAGCGAATCAGTGTGGAGGCGAGCAAGAAGAAACCTGGGAACTTGTAAGTCTGCGTTATATCACAAGTTGGCTAGGACAAACGTACATGCCGTTTACCGCCTCTACAATCTTTTCCTGGACAACCTCCTGTAGCGCAGGGTCACGCTGAATACACTTCGGCAGTCGACTTATCTGACCAGCCACGAACCGCTTCACATCCTCTTTACTAGCCTGCACCTCCAGCTTCAGCCCTTCGTTAAACCAGTCTACAATCTCCGGAATAAAACGCGAGGTGGCCATTAGGCGAACGTCACGTCCCGCCTGAAGATTGCGGAGTTTGGCTAGAAACTGGCGCCGAGTGCCGTCGCTATCCAGACATTCATCCAGAGCATCAACCACAATATAGACAGTAGAGTAATGTGCAAGTACATCTCGGAGTGCGCTGAAGACCTCATCAGGCGATGGCCTGGTTCCTCTGTCAGCATGCTGTTTGTGCAACCGTTCCACGGGATCCACTAGCGACGGTCGAGCCTGCACCAGCTGCTTGAGGATAGCTGCCAACATCCTCGAAGTATCCTGCTCCTCCCGAGCCTTGTAGTTGCAGTACACGTAAGCAACTCCATGTTGGCTGCTCTGCACTGATTCCAACAGATGGTCGATCGCGATGGCGGCCACCATGGTCTTGCCAGCTCCCGGGATACCTGGGCAGAAGAGTGTTGCCTGGTGATCACTGAGCCACGTGGCCACCTGAGGCGCATCTAGAAACCATTGGCCTGTTCCCTCCTGCCTGCGCTTTATAATGTCGGATTGTTGTGCGGGGTAGTCTGTGGGAGAGATCCATTCCAGAATCCTGCGGTGCTTCGCGGCGTCTTGATCTTGCCGGATCTCGTCTACGCCCGACTGGATAACAGGTACGTGCGCCCGAACGAAGTGGGTATCGTTTTTGATGGCTTGGGAGAGTTTGCTTTAGGATGTAAGCAACATCGCTCTACCGTCCTGGTAGGGAAGCTTACAAGTGGTCCATCTGTAACGCGATCTCTGCGAGCGACTTCAAACGCTCTATTCGATCTAATATGCCAGCAATCTCCTCCTTCTTGAACTTCCACACGAGCGCCTCGCCCGACTTCTTCAGCCGACCTCCATCTGTTATCTTATTCTGTAGCGCTTCAAGCGCCTGCTTGAACTGGTCGAGCGGGCCCTTAGGGGCTGCGAGCTCTGCGATGGCGGTATACCACAGCTGGCTTAGATCTCCTGTCTGGACGTGATCTCGCAAGGCGCGAAGTAGGGCGGAAAGGTTCGATATCTCAGCCTCGCAGTGCGAGCGTTCTTTCGGGGCATCTCTGACGTCGCTTAGGTACTCGAGGACCTTGGCTGAAAGCTGGAGAACTGCAATGATGCTGGCTGTAACGCTCAGCGGATCCATGTCGTGAAATCGACATAGGTGGCAGATGCGTATGGAGAGGAGGCGGAAATAGAGGACGACGGCATTGTCTAGGTGGGGGAGCTGAAGCGGGAACGGAGGGCTGAGGGATTGCGGCCGCAGCAAGGCTGAACAGCTCGTAGTGCTGCGCCGCACCTTATCGATAACGCCAAATTGTCGTGGCCTCAGCGCTTCTCCACTAGTGAGGCACGTGAGGCCACAATATAGCTTTGGGGCTAATGCATTTTCATAGTCTGTGGGGTAATTGATTTATTGTGTCAGTCATCTGTCTATCAGCGAGATCAACAGTGTTGTGAGCCTTCCAGCGATAGAGGAGTATCATATCACAAATACTAGCAGGAGCTAGGCGCCATAAGTTGGTCTAAAGTGTGTAAGGTATAGCTCCCGCTAAGCGAGGCTGAACCCCCTGCTGTGAGAAAGAGCGCGAAGTGTAGATACCGGAAGCCGATTCTGCAAGCGAGTGTAGAGGCTCTGTGGATTCTGCAAGCGAGTGTAGTACAGTAACTGCACGCGACAGACTTGGAGGACTACTAGAACTGTTGTGTGGATGAGTTTGCGATCTGGACGCGTGAGAGAGATGGCAATCTCGACCCCTGAACGCGACCGCGACCGCGAAGCGACATCCTTGCCAACCGAGCTACTGGCACCACTGAAGAGACGCGCAAGAAACACCACCGAGCAAAATGAACACTACCGCAGGCGACCACCACAGCCAGACCTATCAGCCGACGACTCCGACACCATCCAGATCGAAAGCAGCCAACCCATCCGTCAAGCCAGGAAGAGCACCGCCACCAACAAAGATCTACTTACCGCGTTGACCAAGATCATCCAGCAGCAGAATGAAACGATCCAGAACCTCGAACGCGAAACAAGAGAGATTAGAAAGAACCAGCAAGCTATTATTGACCACAATGTGAAACTTATTGACGAGATCGCTGAGCTGAAGACACGCGTCGACGACCTTGTGGCAACAGCATCCTCTAGTGCGCGTACCTGGGCCGCGGTTGCGTCCGCAAGCGCACCTGCGGAACCAAGCGCCACGTCCGGAACGCTGGCAAACCAGCAGCACACTAACAGAACTAACCTCGCCTCGATCGACGCGCCCAACGTTACAGTAGACATTTCCAGGGCAGATACCGAAAATGGCAGATTGTCAGCAGGAACGGTCAGAGCCGCCGTGGAAAAAGAGATGCGTACAATGGAGAACCAAGAAAACTGGCGATGCCGGGCGGTCACCGTCGACCACGCGACGCAGAGCAGGATCAGGATTGCGTGCAGAGACGAAGATGAGCACCAGCTAGTCAAGAGAGCAGCAGAGAAGATTGGTGCAGGCTCGCGCGTGTTGCGCGATGAGCTCTACCCAGTCAAGATAGACAACGTCAAGAGAACAGCAGTGTTGGATGAGAAGGACGAGATCCGAGCGGGAGCAGCAGAAGCGTTTGGAGGAGAGGATGGAACGACAGTCGCCAAGATTGCGTGGCTTAGCAAGAGAGACGTCCCCAAGGCGTACGGATCTATGGTGGTGTATGTGACCAAGAAAAGTGACGCAAGGAGGCTCATCGCAGAAGGCTTCTTCCACGCGGGCGGAGAGTCCGGCACAACAAGCGCATTTGAGCAGCGACCACGGCCAGGACAATGCTACAACTGCCAGGAGCTCGGCCACAAAGCGTATCAGTGCCGAAAGGCGCAGAGATGCGGGAGATGCGCGAAAGACGGCCACCACCACAAGAGCTGCAACGAGGTAGTGATGAAGTGCGTATTGTGCGGAGGACCGCACGAGTCGTTCAGCAGAAACTGTCGGATGCTATACCCACCTCAACATGAATAGAGTATTTCGCATGATCCAGCTTAATGTTAGAAAGCAAGGCGAAGTACACGACAGCCTGATGAACAACGAAGAGTTGCAAGACGTGTCGGTGGTAGCTATCCAGGAGCCGCATGCACGGAGGATCCAGGGTCGGCTGCTGACGACGCCCATGCTCCATCACAAGTGGACCAAGATGGTGCCATCGACCTGGCGAGAAGGAAGGTGGCCGATATGGAGCATGCTGTGGGTGAATAGAGAAGTAGAAGCGGAACAGGTACGGGTAGAGTCGCCGGACCTGACAGCAGCGATCATCCGGCTACACGAGCGTCGGGTGTTGGTGGTGTCGGTGTACATACCAGGAGGAGACCAGCAAGCACTGCGAGACGTATGCAACAAGCTAGATACGGTGATTGAGGACGCAAGAAGAAGGGCTGGCACGGTAGTGGACGTGGTGCTGGCCGGAGATTTCAATCAGCACGACCAGCTGTGGGGAGGAGAGGATGTGACGCTGGTTAAACAGGGCGAGGCAGACCTGATCATCGATCTGATGACAGAACACGCGCTCAGCAGCCTGCTCCCGCGTGGCACCAAGACGTGGCAGTGCGGAGACTACGAGACGACAATCGACCTGGTGGTAGCGTCAAAAGAGCTGGCAGACACGGTGCTAAGATGCGCTGCCCACGACACCGAACACGGCTCCGACCACCGAATGATCGAGACGGTCTTCGACAGCTCCGTGCCAGTGCCGCAGCAGCGAGAGCGGCTTCTGCTAAAGAACGCACCGTGGAAAGCAATCAACGACAGGATCGCCAGAACGCTCAGCGTAACTCCGCCAGCGGGCACGACGCAGCAGAGGACCGACAGACTGATGGCGGCGGTGCTGGAGGCGGTGCACGCACTAACACCCAGGGCTAAGCCGTCACCATACGCAAAGAGGTGGTGGACGCAGGATCTGACACAGCTACGCCGCATTTACACGCACTGGAGGAACCGAGCGAGAGCCGCGAGACGGACAGGAGTTGCTAGGCCGGACCTAGAGGAGACTGCAAAGGGAGCGTCAAAGCAGTACCATGATGCTATTCGGCAGCAGAAGAGAAAGCACTGGGATGACTTCCTGGCGGACAACGACAACATCTGGAACGCGGCCAAGTACCTGAAGGCGGGCAACGAGGCGTTCGGGACAGTTCCAGCACTTCGCAGAACGGACGGTACAACTACGAGCGACTTTGAAGAACAAGCTGAGGAGTTGCTCAGCACCTTCTTCCCTCCGCTTCCCAGCAGCATCGATGACGAGGGAGCCAGGCCGCAGAGAGCACCCGTGGAAATGCCGACCATCACGCTCGAGGAGGTAGAAAGACAGCTGCACGCCGCCAAGTCATGGAAAGCACCTGGAGACGACGGACTGCCTGTCATAGTGTGGAAGCAGGTCTGGCCGGTAGTGAAGGACCATGTGCTTGCGCTATTCCGACAGTCGCTAGAAGAGGGAGCGCTGCCCAGCCAATGGAGACACGCCAAGATCATACCGCTTAAGAAGCCGGGCAAGGAAGACTACACCATTGGAAAAGCATGGAGGCCGATCTCACTGTTGGCCACGCTAGGCAAAGTGCTAGAGTCGGTGGTGGCAGAGAGAATTTCGCACATGGTAGAGAAACACGGGCTTCTGCCCACCAACCACTTCGGAGCGCGCAAGCAGCGATCAGCCGAGCAAGCACTAGTGCTGCTCCAAGAGCAGATTTACAACGCGTGGCGAGGCCGCCGGACAGTCAGCCTGATCAGCTTCGATGTCAAGGGAGCGTACAACGGGGTGTGTAAAGAAAGACTGCTGCAGAGGATGAAAGCACGAGGCATACCACAGAGACTGCTGAGATGGGTGGAGGCATTCTGCTCAGAGCGCACAGCGTCAATCCAGGTCAACGGACAGGCTTCTAAGATCCAAGAACTGCCACAAGCAGGTCTGCCGCAAGGGTCTCCGTTATCGCCAATTCTGTTTCTCTTCTTCAACGCCGATCTGGTGCAGCGACGTATCGACACGTACGGAGGCGCGATCGCGTTCGTTGATGACTTCACTGCGTGGGTCACAGGCCCGACGGCGCAAAGCAATAGAGAGGGTATCAACGCCATCATCCGAGACGCACTAGACTGGGAACGGAGAAGCGGAGCGACGTTTGAAGCAGAAAAGACGGCCGTTATCCACTTTACTCGCAAGGCGTATAAGAGTGCCACGGAGCCCTTTGTTATTAAGGGGCAGAGTGTATCGCCCAAAGACCACGTCAAGATACTCGGCGTGCTCATGGACGCCAGGCTCAAGTACCACAAGCACATCGCAAGAGCAGCCGCGAAGGGACTGGAAGCAGCACTGGAACTCAGGAGGCTGAGAGGGCTCTCACCCACAGTGGCGCGACAGCTGTTCACGGCGACAGTCGCGCCGACAGTAGACTACGCGTCGAACGTGTGGATGCATGCCTGCAAAGACAAGCTGGTAAGACCCATCAATAGGGTGCAAAGAATAGGTGCACAAGCGATCGTAGGGACGTTCCTCACCGTGGCGACGTGGGTGGCAGAGGCAGAGGCGCACATCCCAAGTGCACAAGAGCGGTTCTGGAAGCGGGCAGTCAAGCTGTGGACGGACATCCACGCGCTACCGGAGACGAACCCATTGCGAAGAAACACATCACGGATGCGAAAGTTTAGAAGACAGTACCGCTCGCCGCTATTCCAGGTGGCAGAAGCGCTCAAGGACATAGACATGGAGCAGATGGAGACGATCTGGCCGTGCATCCTGGCACCATGGGAGAAGAGAGTGCAGACCGTAGTCGAGAACGCGGCACAGGGCCTCGAGGCGAACTGGGCGGTACGCATCGCTGTAAGCAGCTCGTCGCGGAACGGGGTAGTCGGAATGGGAGGCGCGATCAGCATACAGAACAACGAAAAACAATCTTTCTCCGTCACATTGGGCAAGAGAGAGGAACAGAATCCTTATGCGGCAGAGCTGGCAGCAATGGCCGAGGCGCTGAGCAGGCTGCCGAAGCTGAGGTTTCGCAACATTGCACTGATAACAAGGAACAAAGCTGCTGTGCTCACACTTAGAAGACCGCAGCAGCAGTCTGGGCAAAGCTATATTAGCCAGTTCTACAAGACTGTACAGACGCTAAGAAGAGACAGCAACATAGTGACAGTACTATGGCTACCCGCAAGCGAAGAGTGCGAGCTCGCAAGCCTCGCTAAGCAAGAGGCGAAGATGGCAACTAGACTAAATGCTAGGCCACAGACACAGCTCCCTAGGATGCGATCAACTACGCATAATATTGCACGTAAGCAAGGCATAGCCAAGAAGGTGCCAGCAGACGTAGGAGCATACTCTAAACGAATCGACACGGCACTGCCAGGAAAGCACACTCGACAACTCTATGATGGGCTTTCGCGGAAAGAGAGCAGCGTACTTGCCCAGCTCAGAACAGGCATGGCGCAGCTAAACACGTATCGACACCGAATTAAAGCGTCGACGACAGACCAATGCGAATGCGGACAGGCGGCAGAGACGGTGGAGCACTTTCTATTCCGTTGCAGAAAGTGGACCACACAGCGAACAGAAATGCTGCAGTGTACGCAGTCAAGCAGAGGAAACTTGCCGTTCTACCTGGGCGGCAAAGCAGCGACAGACGACGCCAAATGGGCGCCAGATATGGACGCAGTGCGAGCGACGATACGATTTGCAATAGCAACACGAAGACTCGAGGCAAACTGATATCTAACTAGTCACTCGGTAAACCTCAGACACTAACATAAACTTGTCTACAGCCTCGTGCAATAGACAGCAGACAACGCTTCAGCCGCCGAAGATAGGACGCTGAACACTTGGAGAATCTCTTGGAGAAGCCGACTCTAAGCCAGCCTGCCGCCAGCAATACTAACCCACGAGCGTCAGATGAGGTGCATTAAATAGAGAAGAAGCGTTCTAGATATAGAGAAAGGGTTCTGACTTGGATGATAAGCTACACGAAGAAGCGAGCCAAAGAAGATATATGGGCTAAGGAGGCCGAGACGTAGCATAAGAAGTGTAAAGTTAGACTAGCGTTAGTAGCCCTTTCGGCTCGGCCGCCGGGCATAAATAAATTGTGTGTGTGTGTGTGTAGAGGCTCTGTCTTCTAGCCATAAATAATCGGTTGGAATAGCACGATGCCTCTTAAATCTCGTCGAATCCAAGAGGCGTTGGTGCAATACTGAACTTGTCAAGCTGCTATTGCGCAGGACTTCAAGGCGCATAAGCTTAGTGAAGAACGCACGGCAGAAGACATTGTCCTCTTTGCTTACTGTTATGTTCGGCCCCCGGACCTGCCATGCATGTAGACTACGCATGAACCGAATTTCTAAATGCTTACCGCCTCCAAAATCGTGCCTTCAACGTAATGGCTGACCTGGGGTCAACTAACGGAGTCAATCCAGCCACATGCAACACACAAAAGAAAATCAAATGCTGTGTGTCGTCATCAACACCCTCATTTTCACCCTTTCCCAGAATCTCGCCTCGTACAGTTTGTGCCGTTCCTGGAGATCTCTCGCCTTTGTCAACAGCCTAGAGTCGAGAAAGGTTTCAACTTCATCAAGCCGCGGTGCTTGCCACCACTAGGCCGGTCAGAGAGAAGCTTGCCTTGTCGCTAAGCGAGAGCAGAGCGAGCGTGGGATCAAAGATGGTCGATGTGCAAAGATCTAAGATTGCAGGTGCGAGCGACTGGATGGCAAAATTATGCCTGAAATGCAACGACACACGAAAAGATGCTCGTCCATCTACCAAATGTGACACGCGGGCGGACCAAAGCGGAAAACATTCATGGATCTCTCTCACGCACCTGATTTGCGGGTGACAATGGCTTTTATCAAGACGAGTGAACCCTCCGCCTGTGATCTGGGAGTGAAGTGAGATAACACGGCTGGCCAACGAATGTTATTTCAGTTATCACCACCAACACTAGACTGATGTGGCAGGACCCGAAGTCAAGAACGGTTATTTACTTGAGTTTTACCGTGCTGGAGTTAACAAATCCGTAGTCCACGAACACCTCGTCGACCCTGCCCGTAGACCGAAACAATGACGGACTCAGCCTGTCCGATAGCCAATCTGGAAACAAGCAACGACATATGCACCATCTGCTTTTTCGACACCGGAGCCAGCATGCAAAGCTTTCCGGCGAACATTTCTGGATACTTCTATGTCCAGGTCGAGGCTGCCCCTGGCGAAGGAATCTGACAGCATCCCAGATACAAGAAGGCAGTGAAAAAAGGATTCGGAATGGCTAAGAGCTTTGAATAACTGATCGACTCTCTGGGCAACAAAAAGATCAAGGTTACCGTCTCGCCCGACGGTCTTGTTGGAGGTTGTCCTACGGAGTGTCACGCATGGGCCACAAGGAGAATCGCATTCTTCGTCAAGACCAAATTTGACTCCTCGGCTTCGTTGACAGGGACAAATATCGCGTCGTCTACCCAGTTCCTACACTTCTCTGAGTTACCATCGCAAGCTGCGCTCCAAAGTGTCTTGGATGTCTCTGGCCCGCGAGCTGTCACTATTCTATCGGGGATCTGCTAGTCCTCGTCGAAGACCATGACAACAACCACTCAAGAGGAGCCGACTGTAGGCCTCCAAAGCTTGGAGTACAACAGAACCACACAAGACGAGCTGAAGTACATTGCGCGTAGTGCTTCAGCCATTGCAGATCTTGTTATCGTGTCTCGACCCGTGGTGGTGAGGGCTGATTGCGATGATGGCAAACAAGTTTATCAGCCGCCTCACATTTGTTTGGACATTCCCAGTTTCCATTACTACCAGTACGTCAACGAGCTCTTGCGGTCTGGCCGTTGTAGATTCGACGAGGCTCTGCGGTGGCTCCGTGCCCTAGAGAAGCATCACCAACAAATCTCGCATATCTTCCGTGGTTACCTCGAAGACGAGCTGCTGCGCCAAGATCCGTCTGATAAAGCATGTATCAGCAGCGTCACTCCGGGAGGGGCGCCTATTCTTTCGAGCATGTGCCGCTCTCTTGAGAGGCTTCCACATCCATCGGTGGAAAAAGCTATGAGCATGCTTAGTGTGAACGAGCCAGCCTGGACAACGTTCATGCAATTCGTGCCGGCGGAGGAAAGTACGGGTGATTTTCGATCCTTGGGCTATCTTTTCTACGTGTACCAAGTGATACGACATGCGTTTGGTAACGGATCGGAGCATGAGCCAACGCAACCGGGTTTGTTGATCAGTATCGATGACAGTGCCGAACGGGGAGTATATCCTCGAGCGCAAAAGCTGCTCAAAAGAATACAAGAATCTAAAGCGTCAGCCTCGCCTGTACTACTGGAAACATACCTCTGTCGACGCGTCTTCGTCGATAACAACGCAAACGGAGCCGAGCTGTATTTCCACGATCCGCACCCCGGGTCAGTGTACGAAAAGTACAGCAACTAGAGTGGTTTCTTGTCTTCTAGCAGTTCGAATACGTCTTATGGGACGGACTCGTCTAGTAGTAAAGGCGACATTGCCCTGGAAACGGATCCGAAGCCGTGCAAGCTGGACACCTTGGAGGTGATCGAGAAACTGTACGGCGAGAGATCGGCCACGCTGCTACGCAAGCTGTGTTCAGAGACAGGGCTCTGCGTTGGGAAAGACTTCGTGGTATAGCTGGGTAGAGCTATGCTTTATCATGACTCAAATAACCAACAATAAAGGACGTCAGGGACACACCGAGATCCTATATTGCGATGTGTAGACTATTGGGATACACATCATCGACCCGATCTACCCTGTGGTCTGAATAAGGCAATTGGACACCTTGGGGTCTACGTTCAAGTCATAGCTGTGCGCTCTGTAGGAAATAGTAGATGAGCAATGAAGGACTGCAGATATCTGATGTATTGAACCACACTATGTCATGTTTACCTTCCTATCCTGCACCATCTGCTGGCGCTTAGCGATATAACCCATCCAAGACGTCAAGCGAGAATGGATTCGAGATCTCGGGCAACCGCTTGCAGGCGGTCACACCGCGATTGTCCGCAAACAGCCCAACACCAATCGTTGACTATGTCGAAGTCGCAACCGAATCGCTTTCGAGCCGCGTCGCAAAACACGGAATCTAGAGCCTCACCGTAGGTTGTCTTTCCTTCCCTTGCTTCCCTCAGATACTCTGCTTGTAGGGGAATACCTCTCGACACACCTTTGATTACTCTCTCAGTCGTGGCGTTGTAGAACAGTACCATCTCAAACGCAGCACCTGAGCCGTCCCTTTTCGAGGTGCGAACGTAGCCTTGGATGGCTCCGATGACAATGGTTCCGATATCTCTAGTCTGGACGAGCTCTCGATTCTGACCCACGAAATCAACCATCGCCTCTATACGATCGGCTAGCACTTTAATACCCTGCTCATTGTACGCTTGTTTGATCGGTACGCCAGGCGCGTGAGATAGTATGCATAATCTATCTCCTTCCACATCCGTCCTGACCTTGTCCTCGAGCACTTTGACTTCGCCAGCGTCCTCGGTGTCGATGAGAAGCAGAACGTTCTTTCCGCATAACTTAGGGAAGCACGAATTGCGAAACGACAGATCGCCTGTGCTTTCAGAAGCTACCAGCGACTGTCGATACAGGTAGCTAAATCCACTCCGCAAGCCGGGAGGTTGCAAAGTGTCCCTCTGACCTAGGTCTTGATACGACAGCATTGTCGACATCTGGAGACAAACAAGCTATTGCCTTGCGGAGCGAGCAAGGATCACTTCTTCAACTATCAAAGTACCTGTGGCAGGTACCCTCGTATGAATATCTGATACAGGAGTATATAGCTTCTACACACCTGTCAGACGATTTGTTGTACACGGGCTGCAAGGAAAGCTCGTAGGTCGTAGCCGATCGCAAGCCTAGATTTCGGAACGCGGGATGTAAGAGATTTCATGTCACAGTGGAACATGGTGACCACGGTACCGCTGATGACACAATGACAGCGATAATGTAAGGGTCTTACGACAAGGGTTCTGCTACTGTGAGCTAGCAACGAGATGACCATAACCAACATCATCGGGCAGTACACGCCCATTGTTCGCTCTGTGGCAAGTCACAGTTCACTCAGAATCTGCTTGGCGTTGTGAACGGTCTCTTTTCTCACGGTTAAGGCGAAATGTTCAAAACCAAAAGAAACCCCGCCAAACACTTGACTCTGGGCCTCACCTGTCGCATTATCGTGCGTACGTCGGGATCGCGCCTTCAATCTCGTTTCTGCTCACAGCTGGGCATACTTCTGAATGGATGATCAGGTTTATGTAGACTTGAACTCCCTGCCTAACAGGTCTTGTGTCCTGGCTGACCGACTCGTCGTGCCTCCTCTCCAAGGCAATACTTCTGATTCTCACCAAAGACGTCACATCATCTAGGTAACGCGACTTCGAAACGTCGAGACGCCCCACTGGCGTCATGCTTTCTACACGCAGCGAATGAAGCTCGATTAACATCACAAGTACACTCGCCGCTCTGGACACAAAGTAACCTGCCAGATGTTCGCGGGCCGTTGATTGTGTCCAAGGTCGAAATCGACTCACACATGTTAGACAGATTACCATTGGAGCTCTGCTTGACAGTAGCTGCGGCGCTAGGAGCAGATGCAACGCTGCGAGACTGGGTCAGTATAAGTGTAACCTGTCGAGCCTGGCGACACGGCACGCGATCCTGGTTACAAGAATGGTTGACTACACAGAGTCTTGGTAGTACATTTGGCCGTGGGACGTGGAGCGTGGCAGAATTGGCGTTTGCCAGTCGACATACAGATGGTAAGTGGACAAGGCAAATAGTTTACGCTATTCGGCTAACGCAACAGTCTTGTCATCGAACGCCATCTCACTGACGTGCTATTTCGAAGCAAACGCCAGGGCTCGCGGGTGGCTGACCAGAGAAAGCGGCCGCGTCCCACCGTGCGTAGATGCGGGTTGTACACGATCCCGAACCCATCTCGCGCCAGGATCCCTACGTCGGGCCTACTTGGTGATTGTGGTCCATCATTCAGGGCGTCATGTGTGGACCGAGCCGACACGCAGGATCGCATTCGCGCGATTGGACACAGCTGCCTTGCACTTTGTGGGTCGCCGTATAGCGCCCTCCATGTATGGCGTTGATGCGAAAGACAGACAGTATATGGTGGGCTGGATTTTCCGGTCTTTCCGCTACGGTCTGTTCTCTGGGCCAGCAAGTTGTGAATGTAGCGTCCACCGCGGTATCTGTGCGCATTGTGTGGCGCAAGCGCAAGTCCGTTTTGTATGGGAAAATGGCTATAGCCGTGTACTTCCGTACGGGAGTGACCACTGGTACCGCGGCGTGACAGACGCAGTAGATGAGACGATCGATGCAGATACCTGGCTCCAGTGCTGTGGTATTCAGAGGTGGGATGTGTGAGAAATTGCGAAACTGAGCCGCAATGCGACCGGTCGTTATTGATTAAGATCAGGTTCTGGCCGTAAAAAGCTACCGTGGCCTATACACTCACGACATCGTAAGCTGTGGTTGCTAGTATGGTCGCAATTCATGTTTCCCTTGGAATCTTAGCCTGACTGAATTTGCTGTCGTATAGAGGCGCGTGCCAGTGGAGCGGTGTTGACAGACCCAGTATGACACGGCGTAGCTATCCAATGTCCCGACATTCTCTGCACTTCTATCCGATGCGCCATAAGCGCAAGCATGATCACTCGCCTGTGGCCACAACATCGACTAGGCTCCTTGTACTAATGCCAATCGAGCCGTTACTCCCAATTCTCAGCCTGGAACGCTGTAGAATCTCACAGACTGGCGTATCTATCATGGGACTTTGGGAAGATCAGTCGACCGCTTGAGAGAGCCATGATCTAGGGTTGACTCTCGCACTCACAAGACCCCTTCCACTTGTGTCACAACTTGCTCATTGCCCACGCTAGATTCTGCCTGCCTTTGGAGATTTGATGGGACGCCAAACATCTCATCACCTCCTCGGCATTGTGCGCCTCGCGGATGATATCGGCATTCGCTTCTTTCACGAAGCCTTTGCCTACAGCCGCTCGAACCCAGCTCATAAGCGCGCTCCAATAATGGTCAACACTAAATGCCACAATTGGCATGCTGTGAATGCCCAATTGGTTCCACGTTGTGATCTCCATGAGCTCCTCGAATGTGCCGTAACCGCCTGAGAGGGCCACAAAGCCTCCGCCCGGTCCGCCTCGGATCACCTCTTCGACCATGAGCCTTTTGCGGGTGTGCATGTCCTCGACGATGGTTGTGCGCCCGTAGATTGATTCGGTGATGCAATGGCCCAACGGCGAGGAAGGATCGGCGTTTTCGAACTTCACAAGAGGCTCCGGAATGATACCGTGGACGCTGTCGGGTCCTGCCAGAGCGACAAGAGTACGCGCTATCTCACCCATCAAGCCAACAGTCCCGCCGCCGTAGACCAAATTCACACCGGCTTCGTGCAGTGCGCCTGCGAGGGAGTGAGCTGCCTTGATGTGTAGCGGAGAACTGCCCGTTGATGCGCCGCAGCTGGATGGTAAGCATGGAGTTTGGCAGAGGCATGGTATACGTACAAGACGCACACGACAGGTTTCTTTCTCGCTCCTGCCACGAGACCTGCCATGGGCGAAAGCGTCGATGGAGGCGGTATCGTGGCGGTGATCCGATCACTTATGGTCCTGTTTCCTAGCCAGGCAGAGACGCAGCGGACCTGCCCTGCGATATTCGAACGTGAGCGTAAAGTATTGTGTACATGCGAATTCATTGCATCTTGTATACAGACGTTTCTACATCCGTGCTACGCTTGTGCGATGTCTCACCACATTGCATTGCCATGCACAGTGAGTGTCTAAAATTGCTACATATTGATGCACCCTGAGGCTATTCGTTCCTTGCTAGCGAACGGCAATGCCTCCTGCGCACAGTAAACATACGCTTGTGTTTGTGTAAGTCATTCGCATCGACGCCCGTGTATTTCCAAGCGTGGCAGCACTAGGTGGAGTCAGCATAATCTAGCAAGGCGCTTACCTCGCCAAACGCTCCCTACCTCCGCCATGGTGCTTCGCAGAGCAAACTTAGTGATCAACCATCATCATTACTGGAAAAAGATTTCGATTGGCACGAAATTGACTACACTCTCCAATGGTCAATATAACCTTCCGATCAACCTGCTTACCCTCGAAACTGGCAGGTACCACTTGGTAGCAAGAGGTTCTATCTATATCAGTATGATACCCTAGGGATACAGGTGTCTGTTCACTCCGAAGATCGATCCTCGACTCTCTCCTAACTTACAAACCTTGCTTGTTCCTCAGTGATACGAGCTTGTGATCTTCACCATCGATATGTTCCACGGTATAAAGATCATGATCGCATTCGGGCCGCCACACTATGCACCAGAACTTGACGATATATGGGAAACATACTTTAAGGATGACGTCCTCCCTAAACTTGAGGAGTGCAACTGGATACAAGAAAAATCAGGTTGGGTTGGCTGGAATGTGAGAACATGAAGTTCGCAGCAAAGATTCTGTGCAATTGCGGGTGGCGGGAGGGCACAAATTACTGGGGTGGTGTTCGCTTCGATCCCGCATTACAAGAGCCGCCGAAACGGGATCACGCTACGAAATCAAAGAACGAACCGCGAATCACATCAGAACGAGACATGAAAACTGCTTGTCATGCTTCGAAAAGCGCCTTGCATCGATGATCTCATGCTATTCGCGTACGGAAAAAAGTAGTACACTATTGTTTCGGCTCCCAGTCTGGTCGTCATCTGCATTCCTTCAATCGAAGAAATTGTGTTCAGGAAAAGCTTCACCGGAGTTTTCGAACAAACTGCTTATTCATTCACGCCCTGTGTCCTCTTCAGCAACAACTATTATGCTGGCCTGTCAGATGGTAAAATCCTTTCAGTCCATCTTCAAAAGCAGGGAGACGAAGTTAGATACAAATGCACGGATTCCAGAGACCATTGGCTCACTGTTTGTGGAAACTCTTGTCGTGGTTCCTTAGAACAAGCAAGTACTCGTCTGCTCGACCAAATGTAAGTATCCTATCCCTCTAAATGCCGCAAGCGAACTGGAGCACGTGTCTTTCGAACATCTCATCCTCGAGCTAAGACTGGAAAGTGAAGCGCAGATACTTCTACTGGAAACAAGCAAAGAGACTGGCTTCTTCCTGTACAAAGTTCCACTGAAAGACCGCTGGAACGTCTACAGCAGGACAATGCGCCAAAACAAGGGGAGCGGTTGAGAGTTGACGGCTCTTTCGAGCAACGCCGATGTTGCTACGCGTTCACACACGATGAACTAATATCTACAACTGTCGCAGTCTACGTACAGCTTGCTCGGTCCGATAAGTACTCGGTCCTATGTGAACAGAGTTTCACCATAACCCTGCTGACATCCGATCATTCCGGTATATCAACACGTAGACTTACTTCAATTCAACTTCAGTGTTCCTACCAAATTCTACTGCCTAATAGCCTATTACCTAAACCGTGATAACAACCCAATATAACCTTCTCAATGGCCGCCACTACCGTTCTTGATACATCGCCAAGATTGCTATCTTTGTGAGTGCCTTGTACAACCATCAGTCTGTATCTCAAGCATCTATAATGCAGCTAGCTGACTCCAGTAGCACGAATAATCATAGTTGCAGGGCGATACATGCCAGCCGAGATAGTTCCGTAATACCTTCCATGGATAGAACAATGGAGTAAGGTGATTGCGGGCGAGGGAGCGTCAATGTCTCTTCCACCTCAATGACCTGTACGGCAGTAGGATTGGTAGCTGTTGTGGGTATCAACATGGGTAGCAACGCCGCGGTTCAGTGACGCTCGGTGTCGTCGATGCCACTTTCATCATCAGCGTTACCATCTTCGTCCTTATCGCCACATTGATCCTCCTTGTAATTACGATGTGCAGGCAGTGTGTCCATCAACCAAGTAAGTTACTTGCTTGACATCAGAGCGCTAGAGCACTACAGTGGGCCGGACTAAATTAGTTGGAAACTTAAGCACAGACGCGCGACACTGGCCAATCACCTCGAGATGATCTGCTTACGTTAAAACAACCGGTTGAACCGGTCGGCCCAGCGAGTCCACAGTTGCTTGGAGCCCTGGTGTCAAGCAAGTAACTTACTTGGTTGATGGACACACTGTGTGCAGGTGGAGAGGGCGTAAGCGTAAGCGTAATCAGAATAAATAGGCGCTGCAGGCGTGCGGCACAGTCTTTCTGATAATGCTCTCGAGCTCGAGGGACCAGCGCAGTCTTCTCGGAATACCGTGTCCGTGTATCGATCCAGCAGCTGCCTGGTAGACAAGGCTTGGCAGCAACGCCGATCCATCAGCGCACACGCACGCCAGGAAGGAAATCCACTCGCGTGAGCCATCCTGGAGAGCGCTGTAACCTCCTTCTTCTCCCACATCCGTCTGCTTTGCCGCACCTTCCGTACGTGATCAATCGCTAACCGTTAGCAGGGTGGCATGCCAAAAAAAAATTGTTGTCATTAAGCTAGTCGGCGATCACGACCGGGACCCTTGGTGACAGGTTGACCTAGTTGGTGTTGCTGCCTGCAGGGTAAAGCTGCACTCGCTAGCGACTGTAATGTCTGCACTTAGCGCCACAGAGTCCATAGTAAGACTTTTGTGTGCTGTGTAAGAAGCTGAAATCGACCATGTAAGCCACTGGAAGACAGCGTCAGGTTTCATTCCACAAATTCTGCCGCGGTTCTTGCCGGTGACGGTAAGATAATGAGGCAACCCTACGCTGACTTCGAAGCGATTATATCTTGTCACGAGTGCTTTCGGTCTTGACGGCGGCGATTTGACTTTAATATAAAGGAATAACCTCCCTCCAATTCTCCTTGCACGTGCCAGAGCTGTGTCCGCGTCCAACGGTACAATTCCACTCTATGCGCAACTACCTTGCATATGACGGCAGCGACATTTTCTAATTCACAACAATGAATTGGGATGATTTCCAGCAAAGGGCTATCGTGGCCATTCCTAAGCAGACGTTGAAGCCTAACCGGTGCTGGATCGGGGTGCTCCGCCACGATAAACCTCCAGAGGCATCCTTTGTAGAGAGAGACTTCATTTGGATGATTGGTCATGAGGTATGTATCACTGATGTCTACAGTCTCATGCTCCACAAAGCGTTCTTGAAGCCGACACGTCATTGACATATATACAGAAGATGCCCATACAGACGGTCCAAGAAGCATATTTGAAATCACACAATGTAATCAGCCTCCAGCTCAAACACGGAGACGCTCTCGTCGATCCGAACGACATAGTCAGGTCTTACCTGCGGCCTGGCAGTGATCTTGTATTATTCTGGGCGACGTGCGCAGAACAGTCCATGTTGGGGGTTATCAAGGTATCCGCCAGTCCTACTCCCGCTCGCCAGGATGCGAGGAGTCTCGAAGCTCGCCGCAATGTACCTCCTATGACACCGCCAACGCATGATGCGAAAACCGCTAAACTACGATCAGCGGGGCTCGCCGTGCATCGACCACAACTCAACTCACCATCTACAATCGCCAACAAGCTATGTCCATCGCCCAGTCCAATTGCTAGGGACTCGTCCAGCATCCCTGAAGATACCCTTCTAAAACGCGAGGCAAATGTCGATGCGGTTGCGATTCCGGACGGTGCAAAAATCGAGCGACGTTCCCCACGTTCGTTCCTAGATCAACCAGCATTGCAAAGCCCTACTACTGGTTTAGTTCAACCCGATCAAGTTAGCACAGTCAATCGCGAACGATCATCAGAGACGTATGGGGGTGCAGTCTGGACAGATCGGCATATCAGGGCCATCCTCAATCAGCAGGATCCTGAACTTCTAGGGAGAGCTGTGGCCCGATCAGTAGAGGTCTTGAATGAGTTGCAAGAGAAATTCTCGCGGTATGCGGCATCGAACGCGGACGCGCAATCATGGAAGCAAGCCATCCAGAAGCTCATACCGCAAGCGGGGCGGACACGGACGGTGATCGGTGTGGTCGGCAACACCGGCGCCGGCAAAAGCAGTGTGATCAATGCAGTGCTGAACGAGGAAAATCTCGTACCGACTAACTGCATGCGTGCATGTACAGCCGTCGTGACAGAAATATCATGGAACGACAGCATAGATCCATCCGCTAAGTATCGTGCGGAGATTGAGTTTATTGATCGGGTAGACTGGGAGGAGGAACTCACGGTCTTGATGAAGGACTTTCTAACTGAAGACGGCGCAGTCTCACGTGGCATCTACGAGTTGGACTCAGATGCTGGTATCGCATGGGCCAAATTTCAATCGGTTTATCCGAAGCTACCCAGGGACACGCTGAATCAATACAAGGTCTCCGATCTGATGACGAAGACCAATGTTTTGAGCATCCTAAGGACCACGAAATCGATAGAAACAGCTCAGGCAAGTAGTTTCTACCAACAGCTTCAGCATTACGTGGACAGTAGGGAGAAATGTAACAAGAAGGGCAGGGGCAACGACGGTGGTAGGACGAAGACGACCAAGAACACAGAGATGGAATATTGGCCGCTGATCAAGGTCGTGAGGATTTACACGAAAAGTCCTGCGCTGTCCACAGGTGCTGTCATTGTGGACTTGCCTGGTGTACACGATTCCAACGCAGCACGGGCTGCTGTTGCTCAAGGCTACCTGAAGCATTGTACTGGACTATGGATCGTTGCTCCCATCAACCGCGCAGTAGATGATAAGGCTGCGAAGACTCTCCTCGGAGGTTCCTTCAGGCGGCAACTCAAGTACGATGGTGGCTTCTCCAGTGTCACGTTCATATGCTCGAAGACAGATGACATATCAGTTACCGAGGCTATTAACAGTCTAGAGCTAGACGGGACAGCAGAGCTTGAAGAACTGGGCGACGAAAACAGGACCAGCATCAAAAAAATCGAAGATAAGATCGAAAGTCTTAGAGAATCGCAGCAAGCTTGCGAAGCCGCTTTATCCAGAACGCTCAAGGACATGGAAATCTGGAAAGAGCTTCAAGAACAAATAGATGACGGAAGAAGGTGTATGCCCCGGTGGGTGAGACCAGCAAGCGCCTCAAGGGTTATAAGAAGGACTCAGCAAGGAAGCGAAGGCGCGTATCTGAGGAAGAATCGGACGAGAATTGGGTTCCTCCTGACGACGATGGAACCGATGATGACAACGAAGTTGAGATCACACTTTCAGAGTCAGATATCTATAAGAAGTTCCAGGAGCTGAGGAGAAGCCGGAAAAATGCTAGAGAGGAAATCTGGCAAATCAAGGGTTCGATCAAGGAACTGAAACTCCAAATAAGCGAGCATGAGGTGCAGAACGACGAGACCAAGGGTAAAATCCGCCGCTTATGCATCGCCGAACGTAATGAATATTCCAAGATCGCAATTCAGCGGGACTTCGCCGCCGGTATCAGGGAGATGGACCAGGAAAATGCGGCAGAAGAAGATGAGGACAACTTCGATCCCGACGAAGAACTACGAGACTATGATCAAGTCGCGAAGTCTGCGCCTGCCAGAGTCGATCAGAATCAGGCATTGGCGCGCCAAACTCTGTTACTGAGAACAGAGGAGCGGTATCGTGAAAGAGCGATAGGTCTTGGTCTACCATAACCCAAGAGTAGATGAGGCTGCAGCGCGATATTAGTAAGTGTGTTCACGTGACTGTACCGAGGTTTTCAGCACTTACCGACTGCGGCTTTCTTGCTGAAGCCAGTCCTTCCACAACGCATTCATCGAAGTGTTTCCATTAATGTGAGGCGTTGTCGGCGGTCGCACACCGAGGATACCGGAGTGTCGTAGCATCGAAAGATACATGCCACGCTGACCCATGGCGATGTCCATCTGCCACTTATCCCCACTCCACGCCACTGGAACAGTGAAGAGAAGGGCTGCATGCAGAACGATAGGTTCACCAGTCATGATGATGTTCTTCTCGATGAGGTCGAAGAGCGATATTCGACATGCTTCAGTGAAGCCACCAGTCAGCCATCTCACTTCTATAGACGGAATGGTCATGGCGCCGTGCGCAATCATCATGAGGGTGAGCAAGCTCGATGCCTTATCGTTGTAGTTTTGAATCAACTCGTTGGTGTCAAGGACACCTCTGGCGGAGGTGGGATAATAGCGTTCGAAAGAGTTGGTATATGACTTAAGGAAGCACTCCAGAACGCGAGCAGGCGGAAGAAGAACAAAGTTGGAGTGAGAAGCCGTGGATCCTGGAGACTCGCAACTGCAGGATGAGCTACTGCCGTCTTCGTGAATAGCCCGGGCCTTGTGAAGGAAGCTTTGGGTGATGGCAAGTAGTTTGTCTCGTGTAGCTTCCCGTAACTTCGACACGGCTATTTGCCCGCCTTGTTGAAAGTCGAATTCGTCCACGATCGGGAATGCCGGCATCCGCTATTGAAGAGTGTCTGTTGGAGGGGGTCCCATACTCATGTCCATACCCATACTCATCATCAACGCCGGGTCTATCCGCATAGGATCAAAGGTCGTGTCCATGGGCATCGTGTGCCAAAGATTTATCATGAATTGCGGACTTTCATTGTCGAACTGATCCCACACTGTCCTCACGAAGTCATCATATCCGGACATGGGTGTTGAAGAGACGAAACCATTCATGTCGGCAATCGATATAGGGAGTGGTGAGAGAAGTGACGACGACTGAGCAAGTCCATTGGAAGGGGACTGATCGAAAAACGGGGGTGTATTCGTGATTGGCATATGGATGTGAAGCGACTTTTCCTCAGGATTTATGTGTGGTGGTGGTTGTACCGGTTGTGAGCTGGAAGGATTTCGCGAGTGAGGGGTTGAGGGCGATTGCGATTGTCGTTGCGATGGGGGCTGGCTGTAAGAAACCTGAGAAGGCTGCTGAATATGAGAAGGAGATGACTGTGCGGTCGCTTGTTTTGGTTGGCTATCGTGATTTGGATAGACATTGCCTGATGTGTTCTGGTTATCCGCGTTGCTGCCACTCTCGCCACACTCCCCGCTCCCGGCTTCAGGAGGACCCCCCACCCGCTAGACACCTTTTGATGCTCGCCGTGTAGGACGTAGAGTACATTTCAGGTTCCTCTGAGCGCACCGAGTGCATGGGAACTTCTTGTCGCATTTGGTCTTCGTCTTCGCACAATTACTGCAGGCGATGGGTGTGCGGCCGGCGGACTTGGGTATTATCCCTTGCGGTGGGGGACCCTCTTCGTTGTTCTGGTTGCGGCCGTGTACGGTATAATGTTTCTGCAGAAGTTCTCTGGAGGGGCCGTTAGCACTCCATTTCACACGACCGATACCGCCAGACTCGAAAGAGCAAGGAAGCGGATGAAGGATACAACGTACCGTCGAGCAAAGCTCATATGACATGTGAAGCATCTGAAAGGCTTAATATTGGTGTCTGATCGTCAAGAGTGGTTAGCGGAAATCTCACGGAACGATCGGATCGTGATTAGCACTGAGGAGTACAATTGGCAACGAGAAACGAGGGGTCGACTTACGGGCCAGGATGTGTCGTTCCAGATGCTCGTCTCTGGTAAACGACTGTCCACAGTATGTGCAAAAGACCATGTTGGAGTAGGAATTGGGCGTACAGTCCTGGGAAAGCTCGGCTGGTGGTGTTGTTCGACACAATAATGGCCGGCTGAGATTTGGTGGGTGGAGTCCGAGGATGATGTGCTGGATCAAACTTCAAAAGGAGATCAATGCCATAGACTTCAAGGCGAGCACGTCAAGGCGAAAGAGAGGCTGTCAAGGTTCGATCACGAGGGATTAGAATCGTGGAGTAATAGGTCCGAAGTCCGGTAGTCCTGGAAGGTCTCTAGAACGGGGCGGACATGGAGACCAGTCTGGAGCTAGGTGGAAATAGCAGACGTCAAGTCGATGGCTAGACGTTTTGCGTTGGAACGTCAGACGGAAACCGTTACTATGGCGGCTGTGGAGCTGACTGCAGAGAAAGTCGAATAGTAGTGGTCTGAGAAAGACGAGGTCAAAATTAGGCCTAGTGGTATAGCTGCTGTTTAGCAGGCTGAGCACGCTCGAGTGGGTGAAAAGAGATGAATAAAGATAGAAGATTATCACGGGCGAGGGATTGGCGTGGGGAGAGGTATTTCTCAAGGTCCGACTACGCATGGAGGTAGGAAATGTAAGTGCGGGTTTGACCAGCGGCCTTTCCCAACAGGGAGTGTTGATTATGCATCTGAGCGACGATGAATTCATCAATTGGGGAGGGATCCAGCTGCACGAGAGGATGAGCTAGTGCCTCGCAGTTACATGCAGCGCCCCAGGCTCTAGGGTGGGTCGAGCCTGACCTGGTTAGCCCAAGATTTGTTCGAGCGACCACGGGCATCTGCACGGCGTTGATGATAAGACTCAGCAACAACAGGGATACATCTTGGAGATCTGCACTGCGGACTAAATTAGTGGAGGGGAAGGTAGAGGTTCGTGCTGAGAGTGACGGGGGACGAGCGCCGAGCCCGCGTCAGCCACAAGTCCACGAACCGAGCGCTGGCGCATCGCTCCCTGGAAAAAGGACAGCAAGACACCTGGACACCCATAATGTATTCTGCAATACGACAAGACTACTGCCACGATCGGCACCCGCCCGCACATCGAATCGGCATCAGCGGTGTCCTTGGGTCTGCCTGTAAGATACCCCAATGTCTCTACCGTGTCTGTGCACGTATCGTGTCCGTGCTCGCAATGCGCATGCGCCGCAACGCGCGCCTCGGCATAATAACAGTATGTCGCAGGCCAAGCGCTTTCGTGAACCTAAACTCTGTTACTAATCATGCCGTGCGAGGGTCTGAATATAAGCTGCGCTATGATGCTAGAACAATAGAACAACACACACTCTCCTTAAGTTTCCATACTTGCAACCCGCACCCAACCGTGCGACAAACGATCATCTCTGTGACCTCTACCTTATACGCTGGGAATCGCTATAGCTGACTAATCGTGTGGGGTATGGTGATGCTGTCCAGCTCGAGATCACTTGTGGAACACACTAGAAATCACCAAAGATTATTCGGTCTAGGGTTGCTGCAAAGTCTATCTTACTAAAAATTGACATGCATATGAATGTCACGTCAAGTCTCTAAGCCTTGAGGCGGTTCGTTGAGAGGCACGTGTTGGGTTTGGAGGACGCACTGCACGAGCACTATTCTCCTCGGCTTCCTTGCGATCTTGTGCCTCCACCCTGCGGTTCTGTACCTTGTCCTGCAAGCTGCCTTCTGGCTATCTGCGAGCCGAAATTTTGTATTACAGGCCTTTTAGGTGGTAGGCCTTGCCTAATGAGGCGTTCCATATATCGTAGGATCTCCTCTTGTTGGGGGGGAGCGATCATTACGATGTCAGCCTCGATATACGTCGTTGCAGCGCTTCGCGATATTAGCATCTAGTGTCTATCAAAGATTTACATAGCAAGTTGAATATCTGCGGCTTTACTGTTCGTTTGATCACGCAGTCGTTGAACTTTCGTAAATACAGGTTGACGCATAGTAGAGAATTAGGTAGTTTACTTGCTTGTAAACCACGTTAATCTCTGTATCTAATTCTTGCTGAGTTAATGTCTTGCTTTGGAATGATAATGTCCGAAATCATTCGTCGCCATGCTGTTCATTGACCTTAGCGCTATACCTTGCAAATTGACTTCTTTCCCTCAATGTTTTTCCATATCTCAAAAACACAA